GAGCTAAAGGTGGTTGATAAAGACAAAATATGGGACTATTGGAGATGGCAAGTTGATGTAACACTGCAAAGGTAAGCAGAAGAAAGCTCATGAAGGTCTGTGTAAGCCTCATTGGGGGACTTGGGTTTTATTTCTACAGTTGTCCAGCAGGTATTGCGAGTAGTTCCAGCAAGGGTCCTGGTATAGGGGCTGATTACCTTTTGCCCTGACTTGTCCTTTACCAATCCCTGTTGTTGGAGGCGTTGGTCCAATCAGCCAGATCTACCCTGCCAGTGGGGTCAGGGCAATGCTTGTAGCTATGAACAAAGAGAGGATGGGAATAGGTACCCAGGGAATTGTGGAAAGTTAGTGAAGAGATGCTGGTCAAATAAAACCAAAATATGAACAAACACAAGATGGGCAGTTAAGATACTGAAATTGTAAGAACTTTTGGGGATACATTTGAGCAAAAGGAGATGTGAGTCATTGATAAGAGATTCAGAAGGAATGGGAAATTTTTGACAAATGGATTAACAGTTAAACTTTATTTGTATTTAGGGAGACAAAACTATGTAGGGGATTGAGATATTTAGAAATAAAATACACTCTGTGGTAAAGGAAAGAACTAGTAAAATTCTCAGTGCAAAACTGACTAGGATTTTCATTCAACTTATTTCTCCATTATCATGATTTGAATAATTTGCCATATAATCTATCAAATTGGGATTATCTGATGACCACTTCTCAAAGCCTATAGATTAAACAATTTAAAGTAAACTTTTTAAAGAAAAATAATAGAAAATTATGATTGCGACATTTCTAATGTTCCTTCCAAAGCCTTACAAAGGGACTTTGCAAGTGAGAGGCCAGAAATGGAAACTTCTTTAAGTTCATGGTGAATTCACCTGAACACTTAGGACATTGTAAATCACAATACTGGCTTTGACTTCAGAGGAAGCACTATGGTTTAAACTTCTTGAGAATGTGGGAGATAAAAGAGCATTTATTCTGTGACACATGACTACTGTGCCTCATTGTCCTGCCGGCACACATAACGGAATAACTGGAATTTCTTGTGTGTAGCATTAATGAGAGTTATTTGGGAGTTTCCTTTATTGCCATCTTTCTTCAAGGCCACTGAATGAATGAACAGCACCAGATTGATCTCAAATCTTTGTCCAAAGTAGAGCTGCAAGCTTTTATATTCAAGTCCTGGCTCAGCTCTGTGTTTCTGTAATGCAGGGAGGACGAAAGCCCATATTTTTGTGAATATGACTAACTAGTTCCCTCTTTTAGTCTTTTAGGAAGCAGCTTTTCCCATGACTCTGGTTACTAAATTCTCAACGTTCTGCATGTATTACTACATATGACCTTTGGAAGAGTCATGTGATGTGGTATTTAGCTGTAATAATTGATGTTGAGGAAATCTGAATTCATTTCTTTGTTATGCCACTTACTCAGCTGGTGGCTCTCGAAATTTCACTTAACTTGTATCACATGTCTGTTTTAAAATGTGCACAGTAATAGTAGCTGATTCAGTGATGCTGGCAAGAGTGATGATGTAATGATTCTTTTATGCTTCAAGTTTTAGCTGGCCAAAGGAAAGTCTTCTCCACATTTATTACTAGAAGGCACTCTAACTTATGAAAATCTTTGAAATAGAGCATTATAAAATAATTTATAAACTATAAACCCAATTCTAAAGTAGTGTCTGAGATTTCTAATGATATCAAAAAATCATAGGGAACTATAGGTTTTCATGGTTTTTGTTTTTTAATGCCACTGATTTAAAATATAAGTGTGTTACAGATTTATATCTTATTAGCTATATTACCATGGTCAGGGAGTGTATTTACCCTCCCTGTTCCTCATTTTCCTGCTTTATAAAATAAGAATAATAACAGTGCTTATTTCATAGAGGTTTTGCTAACATGTGAAGTGTGCCAGTACATGGTAGGTAATAAACTCTTTGTTGGTATTATGTGTATTATTATTATTGTTAATATTAGTATTAATAAGAAAACACAATAACTTAAAACTCTGTGAAGATATGTTAGATTTCACAATAAAATGATGTGGTCATTTTATTCCAAGGAACCCTCAGTTCTTTGAGCTGTAGGGCATTCAACAAGTGATTTCAAATGTTGACAGACTAAAATATATGTCCTTGGATTTTATGCCCCAATTTTAAAAATGACTGGTTATGTGCTGTTGGAGAAGGGAAAATATTTTTTCTCCATCTGGTCAAATACATAGCACTCTTATCAATTCCAGTCTATATATAGATAGCAAAATAAACATTATACTTGTGTTAGAAAAGTCGAAGGTAATTTATCTTTTAACTGCTTCTATTGTACATCACATTAGTATTTTCCCTACCATGAATTCTGGACTGATAAACTCTTTTTGTCTTCTTCCTCTGTGTATTCCTTTCTTACATCTCCCTCCCTCTCTATCCTTCTGGTTTCTAACTCCATTCTCCATTTTCCTTTCTTTATCCTAACCCTGTTTTCTGTTTCCCATGAACATTTATTGAGCACTTAGAACAGATTGCCCAACAGTTTTCTCAGTTTTTAAGGAATTTACAGTTTGGTGGTGGCGATTGTGATAGTGACTGTGTTTAATGGTGAGCTAATGAGAAACGGAACTCGGACTTAATCTTATGCCGATGTTCTAATGAAAATCTGTTTATCTCAGCTTAATAAGGATGAGAAAAAAATGAATATTTCTAAAAGTGAACATTTTTTGACATAAATAAAATATGACTGGGAGAGACAATAAATTGATAATAGCAGAACTATTTGGGGGACTCTTTGTGTCTAATTTTGCGTTCTTGATTCTAAGAGTGTTCTGAGAAAGACCTGTATGAGTTTAAAGGAAAGGTCATTATAAGAGGAGCAGTTCAATGAACATTTTGAAGGAGAAATGGCAAAATGTGGCAACTAGAACCTAAGTATGAGGGGAAGGTGAAAGAGTCCATGATGGTGTACAGGTTTGAGTGTGAATCATGGGCACTGGGAGGCTTCATTCACAATAGAAATAGGGGAACTGGTAACGGGAGAGGAAAATGATGAGTTTAGTTACATACATGTTGACTGTTAGGTGGCAATAGGACTTCTATTCACATTATCATTAACAATTTTTGGTAGTTTATATTATCATTAATTTCTAATATTCTTCTGGCATTATAAGTCTATACTGTATAAGTATTATAATCACTGATTTAATTTTTAAGGATTTTATGTTCGAGCAGGCAGATTATCATTTTTCCATGACATGCATGATCTTGCATTTTGGTTTGGTCTAAATTAGTTTTGGGTCATAATACACTGGTTATTAATAAAGGAGGAGACATCATTTTAACATTTGACTTAATGGAACAGAAATAGAAAGGAAAACATTGCATAGAAGTGATGTAATTGAGCATGGTAGTGCATGCCTATAATCTGAGCAACTTGGGAGGCTGAGGCAGGAGAATTGTAAGCCCAAGGTCAGCCTCAGCAACTTAGTGAGACCCTGTCTCAAAATAAATAATAAAAAGTACTGGAGGATGTATTTCAGTGATAAAGTATCTCCAGACTCCATCCCCAGTCCCCCCTATCCCCCTAAAATTAGTGACATAATTGAATTGGCAAGTATATTTGGAGTAATGACTTATATAGGGTATTTGCAAAGGTTACCTTGTCATTTGCTATACTACTTTTGTATAAGTACCAAGGAAATGTAATATAATTAAATATTAAGTCTACAAAATATTAATAGGTGCTGTTTTATAAATAAAATTTTATTTATTAAATTATAATGACAAAACAAGTTATGTTAAAGGGCATTGAGATATTAAGGAAATTATTTTTTTAATTGATTTTAAAAAAATAAATGACAGTGGAATGCATTACAATTCTTGTTACACGTATCCAGCATAATTTTTCATCTCTGGTTATATATAAATTATGTTGACACCAAGTCGTGTCTTCATACATGTACTTTGGATAATGATGTCTATCACATTTCCCCATCCTTGTTAATCCCCTGCCCCCTTCCTTTCCCTCCCACCCCTTTTCCCTATCTAGAATTCATCTATTCCTCCCATGCTCCTCCTTCCTACCCCACTATGAATCAGCCTCCTTAGAGAAAACATTTGGCATTTGTTTTTTTGTGATTGGCAAACTTCACTTAGCATTATTTTCTCCAGCGCCATCCATTTACCTGCATATGCCATGATTTTATTCTCTTTTATTGCTGAGTAAAATTCCACTGCATATATATGCCACATTTTTTTTTTATCTATTCACCCATCCACTGAAGGGCATCTAGCTTGGCTCCAATAGCTTTTCTATTCCCTTCTCTCCTACCTACCCAGTATAGTCAATGTTAAAAGTTTGACATGTGTGCTTCCAGACATTTTTGGTTCATTATATAAATTTTTGAATATGTACTTATATATTTTGAGAAATATTTTTTACAAAAATGGGAGCCAGTTTTACATGCTACTTACATTTTTAATTTATAAATGTGTCAGGGACATCTTTTCTTTTTTTTCTTTTTTTTTTTAAATTCTATTACTAGCCTATTACTTTATTTTATTTATTTGTTTTTATATGATGCTGAGGATCAAACCAGGGACATCTTTTCATTATCAAAACACATATACCTAATTCATCCTGCCTCATATCTCATATTCCAGTATTCAACAATTTTATGTTGAGAATTGTTAATTTATATAGTTTTTAATGTGGTCTCAGCTTTTTAAATTATAAGACCCTTTTTATTTTCCACTCAGTAATTAATAGATATTTTTGAATACTTAAAATTGTTAAAATAAGACATACATACAATTTTGTTAGTATACTCTGTAAAAATTTGAACATTCTGCAAACATTTTGTTACTCTTTGTCTTTTTATTGTTTCATATTAGAGGCAGATGTGTAAGTATTAAATATTTTGGCTATTCACTTTTGTGAAATATCTTTAGTCCTGTCCAACTTTTAATAGCTCTATATTGTATTCTTTTTTCCTCCCAGAAAATCAAATAAAGAAAACTGCTTTACGCTTTCACAACTATAGCAACATGAATGAAGATCTTAATATAAAGAAGGAAAGAGTTCTCAGATATACTTCAAAAAATATATCATTAGAAGATGAAAGAAGTCAATTACATTCCAGGAATAAACGTTTTTTATCATACCCAAGATATGTGGAAGTTATGGTTACAGCCGATGCTAAGATGGTTCAGCATCATGGACAGAATTTGCAGCACTATGTACTAACCCTAATGTCAATTGTAAGTAACTTATTATTACTTTTATATTGCCCAAAGCACTTATTTTTTTTACATAATTAAAACAATGTGTTTTTTCCCCAAACTCTTCATGCACACAAATTGTATCTAGAAATTAGACTTCACTGAAGTTTAGCTTAGAAAGATATATACCAGGAATACTATTCTGTTACTTGCACAACTTTCTAAATATTTGAAAATGTGTGAAACCATTGATAGAAAATGCTTGAATTGTTCTTTTCTGCATCACATGCATAGCTTCTGCCCTCTAGTGACAGGGAATATCCTTGTCACACTGATCTTTGAATCTGAATTTTAAAACTTTACCCTACTCAAGGGGAGAGTGTGTTTTTTGTACTGTTGCTACATTCCCTAAATCAGAAATTTGGACAAACAATCTTTTAAGTTATAAATATGTTTTTAGGGATAAAGAGATAAATTATTGCCAGTAAAGCTATCTTAGCAATCTCGGAGTAAAGATCACAATAGGTGTAAGAGTCTTTGATCTGATGTTAATTTCTCTGTTGAGCAATGTTGGTACCATTGTTCATAGACTGAAGTTCTAATGCTAGTGAAAAGCACCAGTTCTCTGTGAGAGGCAGCTTCCTATATCACATGTATACATGTGTGTACAAATATAAACACACACTCGTCATACTTCCTGAAACATTCTTGAATTTGGGTAGTTGCTTTAGAGTTATTACTAAAAGCACCCCCTTTTATTCTCATGAGTATTCTGATTTAGTTGACAAATGATACAGTCACCTATTTATGCAGATTCAGATAATTTGAACATATACCACAGCTAGAAGTACACATAGAGGGAATTTAGACCCAGTTGGTTGAAAAGACTTGGTTAAGACACATTTGTAGTACCTTTTCAATTTCCCTTAACCAGAAATTACCAGTTACATTTCTTGTAGCTTGAAGATCCTGAGAGTCTTATCATTTTACTTTACATTTTATCTTAAGTTTTTATAATTATATCATGTTCTATGCTGCCTAAATGTAGTATCTACAAAGTGGGTGCTCAATGAACATTACTGAAAGAATTTATTAGTGAATAAAATTAACGTAATATTTTTTTTCTGAATGTAGTATATTTTGGTAAACAAAAACAAAGATGATCCAAAGTAATTTTCTGCAATTATATAATATAAAACTCATTTTGTCTATTGAAATTGAAAGTTTTAAATGACACAGGGATATCTATAGATATTTATCCTGATGACATATTTTTACACTTCTGAATCCAAAATAATTATTTAGGTGTGTCATTATAAATGTGAGTGTGATGTACTTAAAATCAAGAAATTCTAATGAGAACTAGATGTGGAGGATGTCAGTTTATAAAGTAGGAAATGGTACTAATTAAATAGAATATTGGAATCAACTTTGCAATTGAAATGGTTTAAGTAGTGACACTTATTAAGAAAACTGGGTTAAGGGGAATATTGAAGGAAAATATTAGATTTTACAAATGAAACAGTTTTTGAAGCTGGTAAGAGACAGATAAATGATGTCAGTACTTTGGAGAAACTTACTAGAAGAAGTAAAGGAATACAAGAATAATTTTGGAATATTTGCATGCATTTTTGGTGCCATCACCACCCTCAAAAATATTTATTTTGATTTTACATGCAAATCAATTAAGATCATCACTGTTAAGAAGATATTGTGAAGTTGGGGTTGTGGCTTGGTGGTAGAGAGCTTGCCTAGCATGTGTGAAGCACTGCGTTCAATACTCAGCATCATATAAAAATAAATAAATAAAATAAAGGTATTGTGTCCATCTACAACAACAAAACGAAGATATTGTGGCATGTCATGAAGTAACTGAAGTTGGCTATGTGAGTTTTAAAGCTGAGTTCTTTGAGGGAGAAGCTAACGGTCTGACTTCATGGAGAGTCCTGTGTCTGATTTTGCTTGGAATAACAGACCAATGCATGTATACATGTTATTTCCTAGATTTTTAGTCCTACTAGAATGATAGCAGATTTTAGCTGAAGGTGGGATTTTTGTAGAAGCTGTCATCTGTTTTGCACTAAGTTTTCATTTACAGGGAGACAGATGCAGTAGGGTTGAGTAAAAGGGGAACATTCCAAATATAGGTGGAGTAGGAGGAAAAATTTAGGAGGGTCTCTCTTTTTTTTTTTTAAAAGAGGGAGAGGGAGAGATCTTTTTTAATATTTATTTTTTAGTTTTTGGTGGACACAACATCTTTATTTTATTTTTATGTGGTGCTGAGGATCGAACCTAGCCCCGCGCATGCCAGGCGAGTGTGTTACTGCTTGAGCCACATCCCCAGCCCCAAGGAGGGTCTCTTTTTGAGGATTTTTTTTCCTTTCCTTTTCTTTCTTTCTTTCTTTCTTTCTTTTTTTTTTTTTTTTGTTTGTGTGTATGTCGGCTTTCTTACTTAGAGGCCAAATTTCAGGTGACTTCTAAATATCTGGGTTTGGTGCTTTCTTCATTTTTCTTTCATTGAAAGAATGTTCAAATGAGAATATAGAGAAGTCATCAGATTATAAAGTACTCTATACACATTGTTGTTTTATTGGTAACAAACCAATCACCGCTATATAAATAATGTTGAACATGGGAGGCAACTTAGAAAAAAAAATGAAAGCTCTTACTGTTTGTGTGGGACTTTTAAAATTCTGGCATTGAAAGTCTCATAAAGTCTCTTTGCAAATCCTTCACACTTGGGCAAACTAAGCCAATTGGTCACATATGCAGAGTTTATCAAATCTAGTCCAGCTTGTTTTATCTCTACTTGTGAAGTCCATTTCCAAAGTTTCTCTAAAGAGGTGAGAGGAATGCATCCTCCACTTAAGTGTCAACAGCTGTTTCTGGCTGAAGAAAGAACCATGCAGGTTTTGCATGTTTTCTTCCCATTATTTTGGAAGGTACTGATTACATTATTCAAACATACATACTTGGATTATTGGTAATGTTCTGATTGGATCATCGTAATTTAGGAAAATGTGATTGAGATTTGGAATGTGATAGTAAGCTATTTGAAGGAAAGCTCAAAGTAAAGAAAAAGTTTTTATGCATTGAGTTCTTACATGTAATGGGAAAGTGATTGAATTAAGCTAATGGACTATAGACACAAAATTTAGAAAGAAGATCATTTACCTTTACCTATCCTGCACCAAGTAAACAAATGTGATATTTTGTTAAACTTTTTGACAGTTTAACAAAATGTCTGAAAACAATGATATAGAAAAGTGAATGTGATTTAATTTACTTTTTAGAGTTCCATGATATGTTGTGAATATAGCTCATGGATCTCTATTTTTTCAAAGGGTATCTGTAATTAGCAGCACTGGGAAAGAACACAAATGTGTATAACTAGTGAAATAGGTATATTAAATGAGCAGTCATATTCCAATCTTCTATTCTAAAGTTTTTATCCTCATATTTGGACAACAGCATCAAGTTAAAATGGCATTTATAGATATTATTAAACTACCAAAATACATGTAAGTAGAGCAATTATTTTCTTCAGCATGCTTATTTTGATATTCAGTGATATTTTATTTAATATACCTGAGGTATTTACTATAGGCCAGAAAGCTTCACATGCCATTGTGTTTACTAAGGCTTACTTCATAATATTCACATTGTCACACACTTAATAATGTAAATTTAAGAAAAATCATTTGAGCCTCAAGAATTCAGACGTAATTGCTATTATTAGAGGCATTTATTTCACTTGAATTAAATTAAATTTATATTTTTCAATTCCTTGGATTCCTGATGTTTTCAGTAAGGGGTAAATTTCAGCCACACTAAAATAAAAACTAATCATGAAAATGGATGGAATTCAAAGGCATCATGTTAAGTGAAATAAGCCAGACACAGAAAGACAAGTATCACATGTTTCAGTCATATGTGGAAACCTTAAAAAAAGAAAGAAAGAAAGAATAAAAGATGACCTTAAAAGAAAGAATCTACTTGGGGAGGAAAAGGGCATTGGGGGAAACAAGAGAGAGAGAGGGGAAGGGTAGGGGTAGAAGGGAGGGTGGGCATGATCAAAGCATGACACATGCATGTGTAGAAATGTCACAGTGGAAACCATAAATTTGCACAAATAATATGTGTTAATGAGTATAATAAAAAGTTCTAAAATATCATTCATACCCCCCAACATTACCTGGTTCATTCTAATTCAGTACACAAGGGCATTGTGGCCAAGGGGACCCAATGCTGTGGGTCAACATTGTTGCCAATATTAAGACCAAAATATGTAATTCCATTTTTCAGGGTTGAGCCAACTGTCTTGTAATTGGTAATAGAGATAAAATTTAAACCCAGTCTCTTGACTACATAGAACTTCTCCAATGCCATGGTCAAGTGACCCTGCAGGAGAGTAGCAATAGAGGTTAGGGAATGAGTTGAAACAGGGTTTGAAGTAGTTTTTATACCAAGAAATAATGATGAGAACTTGAGGTAAAATGCTGAAAACTTGCAAGATAATATGAAATAGTCAGAGCTTTAAAGTCAGACTGCCTAGGATAGAAATTGGGTTCTGTTGTTTACCAGTTGCCTAAACTTCAATACATTACTGAACTTCTCTGTATCTTAGTTTTCTTACTTGTAAAAAGTACACTATAATAGTTTCTATCTCATTGAACTTTTTAAAAATGAATTAATACATTTAAATTTACAACACATTGGTATGTAATAATCATTCAATATTTATTTTATGTATTTGTTCTTTACTTATTTATTGCTTATCATTTATGTACTTATTAGTAGTAGGGAACTAGTACCCTGCCATCAAGACTTTCTAATATAGGGCACTGGTTTTATGGATGAGAAAAGCACATTATTGTACATACTGATTCTAAAATTCTGTGAATACCAAATGAGCCATATGGCTATCCATTGATTAAATCATAGGTCAGTATTATTGAATAGAGTTACTCAGTGACAGTACCTTTAAACACCAAATGTAGTACAAGGTATACCTGTTGTGTATGAGCACACAACTGTTTTTCATTATTTGGGAAAAAAGAGACTTTATAAATACTTTTGCTATATGTCATTTGCCCTGTAATTTGACTTAGAAAATACCTACTTTTAAACTCATAGTATCAAAGGAAGTCTCTAAAGCCAGACATATAGGTATACTGGTTCTTATGGCAAATATATTTTTAAAAGTTGCATGTAAAATGAATATTTATAAATTCAACTATACATTTCCACAGCTCTCATTTTAAAGTGAGCAATACTGCAGTGCTAACAGACCTTCTTGAAATCACGAATCATCTGACTCACTGCCTTAACTTACTGTCAACCCCACTGGGGCTACTACCACTCTTGCCAAAAAATGCTACCACCAGAGCCAAAGGCATTACTGCTGGTAAAGATGACAAACCTGTAAGTATTTGTGGCTGCACCATTACAACAATAAAGGTGCTGGAATGTGTATTTGTGCCCATGCTGACCCAGCAGTGTCAGCAGCTCCAGAGATGCTTTTGGCTCTGGTTCTGATAGTGGTATCTTTGGCACTAGAGGCATTGACAGTAGTCATGTTCATGTTATATATTGTGTAGAAGAAGTTTTGGCTGATGGAGTGAGGGTCCTGGTACCCATTGCTTCTAGCAAACTGTAAGTTCTACAAAGCCAGGGACCATGTCCTCTTTTTATCTCCTGCAAACATTGCAAGGAGTAGATGCTGAACATTTGTTTATTAAACACATGAGGGAAGTAGTATTCCCTGAAGCAGTTAGCTGTCTTGGCTTGGTCAGTAGCTCATGAGAAGGTGATCTAGGCATCAGAGGTAGTTTTCACTGCACAGGTGGCTTGTGTCTAGACCGTGTGATGTCTCTGAAGGAGTACAAGGCAGAGGCATTGCCCGTGGAAGGCATTTCTTTTGCAGTGGTAACGTCTTTTTTTTTTTTAATTTGTTCTTCTTAGATATACATGACAATAGAGTATAATTTGATATGTACATGGAGTATGACTTTTTCTAATTAGATCCCATTTTTGTGGTGTACATGATGTAGAGTTACAGGGGTTGTGTATTCACATATGAACATAGAAAGTTATGTTCTGTTCATTTCACTGTCTTCCCTATTCCCATCCCTTCTCCCTTCATTTCATTCCCCTTTTTCAATCCAATGAACTTCTATTCCCCCTCTCCCCTTATTGTGTGTAAGCATCTGCATATCAGTTGTCAATCCAATGAACTTCTATTCCCCCTCTCCCCTTATTCGGTGTGAGCATCTGCATATCAGAGAGAGCATTTGGCCTTTGGTTTTTTGGGATTGGCTTATTTCACTTAGCATGATAGTCTCTAGTTCTATCCATTTACTGGCAAATGCCATAATTTCATTCTTCTTTGTGACTGAATAATGTTCCATTGTGTGTGTGTGTGTGTATGTGTGTATGGATATATACCACATTTTCTTTATCCATTCATCTGTTGAAGGACACCTAGGTTGGTTTGTGATAACCTCTTTGAGGGATATAAGAAAAGAATATGAATTTGGAAAGAGGATAGCACCTTAATATGAATCATGAACTGAATCCATCCAGAGTGCCTCATAGATTTGCATGTCAGTCTTGGACAATTGAGGGTTATATTCTAATTTACGTATGGCCTCTTCTACAGCTATTTGTATGATTCTAGATGAATCTACCTCCATGTATTAAAGTAGTGTTAAATGTCAAAAATAATCAGAATTGAAAATATGCAACTATGGAAAAGAATATAACATAAAACTACCAGAAAAGAATATGACAAATTTACAATTTTATGGAATATTGTGGTCATTTAAACTGTAGATAAGACCCAGAATAAAGTGAATTTCTTGTTGAATCATCCCTAACAGTAGTTTCTAGAATCTATTATGCTGTCAAATCACTTAGGATTTTGTTTAAGAGGGTTTTGAGAGTTTATATTTCTTACCAGTTCTAGGTGATGTGGATGCTACCAATACATGGACCAATCTCAGTAGCAAGGTTTAGGATACTGGTTCTCAAACTTTTGTTTCACTATAGGGACTTTAAAAAGCGTCTTTAAAAAGAGCTGATGCCCATTTCACAGCCATAGAGATAGATCCTAATTTAATAGATAAAGAATGTGACCTGAGGGCTGGGGCTGTAGCTTAGTGGCAGAGTACTTGCCTAGCATGTGTGAGGCACTAGGTTTGATCCTCAGCACCACATACAAATAAACAAATAAAATAAAGGCATCTGTGTTCATCTACAACTACAAAAAAAAAAAAAAAAAAGAATGTGACCTGAACATGAGAATTTGTAAAAGTTCTCTAAGAGACTTCACTGTGCAGTTAAATTGGAGAATAGATGCTCTAGGACTGGTTTCAATTTGTTTTGAGAAGAAATTTTCATTTTAGACATATAATCCTACTTTTTTTTTTTTCAGGTTGCAGCAATCTACAAGGACTCAAGTATTGGAAATCTTATAAACATAGTAATTGTAAAATTAATTGTAATTCACAATGAACAGGTAAGGACAGATCTAAAATGTAATTTTATTTATGGTAGTCTTTGTTTTGGGGGGGGGGTGGTTCCGGGGATTAAACTGAGGGGCACTCGGCCACTGGGCCATATCCCCAGCCCTATTTTTTGAATTTTATTTAGAGATAGGGTCTCACTGAGTTGCTTAGTGTCTCGCTGTTGCTGAGGCTGGCTTTGAACTCATAATCCTCCTGTCTCAGCCTCCCAAGATGCTGGGATTACAGGCATGCGCCAACGCGCCTGGCTGTGGTAGTCTTTTAATAGGGTTTTATGTAGACCACAGAACTCTTATTAGAAATTTCTAAAAATTTACTTTAAAAACTTAATTTGAAGAGGAGTGATGTTACCCTTTTCTGTTGTGATGAATGGAAATAAAATAGGATAACAAAAGTGTTGAACTGAGCTAAGGAAGTAACAAAAAACAATTCATTTTTACAATCCTAAGATTGAAGGATTTTAAATGTGTTAATTTTTAAAGTTATTTTGCTAATTAGATTCAATTTTGATAACAATGTTTTAGATGTTGCTAAAATATATTTAAATAAAACTGTGAAGGAGAAATTATGCCACATGTTCATTGGAAAATACTGTTTGATAAATTGTGTGGGTGCCAATAAACTTGGGAGGAGAAGAGGGAGAATATAAATGTTTTGACATCATACTGAATCGCTTATTATCTTGTGTAGGAAGGACCAGTCATCAGTTTTAATGCAGCTACCACATTACGCAACTTTTGTTTATGGCAGCAAACTCAAAATGTTCTTGATGATGCTCACCCTTCCCACCATGATACTGCTGTCCTTATCACCAGGTACAGTTTTGTAAATAACCCTTCAAACTGCAATTCTTTACTCTCTTTCCTGCATGATGACTGATACTTCTCATTACTTTAATTCTTTGTCAATAATAAATGGAATTGATCCATGGAAACATAATAAAATCATCTTTTCTTTCAGACTAGAATGCTAGGTAGTTCCTTAGGAATGAGCAATTTCAGGTTATTGAATAATAGTTTAGTCTAAACCAAAAACTTTATTACATAAAAGACAGAATGAGAGAATTAAGAATAATATCTGGAAATTAACAGGAATAATATCTGGAAATAAACCTAAGTTAACCAGGGTAGGTTTTATTTGTTTCCTTATTGATGTTTCAGTTGCTTCTGAGAAAATAGTGTCTAAATTTATTTGATTGTCCCCTTTTGGACGACCTGTACTCTTTCTTTCTATCTGTCTATGTATCCATTTATTAATGAATCCATCCATCTATTCCTTGTTTTAATGTTTACTGCATATCATAATTACCAGATTACCTTTGCTAGGATTGTTTTTAATCCTATTTATTTATAATAAAAACAGGTTCTGATATTATAAAATTGTTTCCATTTTATGAGTACATATGTACACTGCTAAATCACATCTTGTTTCTGCAGTACTAATACTATCAGATCATATAAATCCTAGGTTTGTTATTTGGTTGGTTGGTTGGTTTACCAGTGAAAACCTTTCACTTGGGAGTCAACCTCAAGGAAATGAGGTTGACTAGAATTTTGAAGTAAAAATCTTTACTTCATGTAAAATAGCTGCCATATAGCTCATGTAATTTATCTTTTTTTTAAATTAAAGCAGAATTGACTTAAATTACAAATAGTGCTCTATCATAGTCCATGGTCCTGCTCTGCATTGTATTTGGATATCAAGCTGCAAAGATTGGGGGATTATAGATTTAATGGGAGGAAGAAATGGCCATGGAAAAAGAACATAGAAAAGAGATAAGAGAACTTTCAAATTGAATGATCAGGGACTAAATAATGCAGAAGTAAAAAATTTAAGCAACATGGTAACATTTAAACAACATTATTTTGTATAACATAAATACATAAAACATTGAATTATTGATAAGAAGGTTAGTAATGTTATATATACTGTGTAAAGGTAGGGAGGTAAACTATCCATCTACTCAGAATGTTTTTCATTGGACTTGGTTAAAGCCTCAACTGTTTTTTGACATGCTTATATAGAGTATGCCTTTTGATGTTCACGAATGTGCATAAACATTTTGAGAGCTTTTTGATGTTAGCTATGGTAATAGTTTTATTTTTGTTTTGGCTAATCATAAAAGTATTTTCTGAAAATGTTTAAAAATGTATCTTTTATTTTAAGGGAAGACATTTGTGGAGCTAGAGAGAAATGTGACACATTAGGTAAGTTTTTAACAGTTAAACTTAGCTTATATAATTGTTTATTAAATTGAACAAAAGTACTATTTAGATTGTTTTCCTTTTATTTGAAATTTCAATAATTATTATTAGTTGTATTAATAAATAATTATACTTGTCACTGTTATTTAATTTTGCCTCTATAATTTTATAGAATAACAAGAACTACTAATTTCCAATTACTAAAGATAACTGCGGTATGAATTTGATGTACTTGATTTAAAGTGTTTTATTATGTAACATTTGATTCATGAGAAATAATACTTAATAACCTACATGCCAGTTTAAAGCAAAATAATGAAATGGATGGCCATGAATCTATCACTAGATTTAATGGTTAGTTTGGTACTATTACATGGCCTGTGCTCAATCCTTATTACATTTCTCTGCTTCTGTCCTAGAAGTAGCTACTACCATGGATGTTCATCTTTTGAAGAATAGTAACATTACATATGTATGTGTTTCTAAACAAGAAATCATTTGCTTTTACTTCTTTTAAAAATTTGGAGCCATAGTTTATGTGTTTTCACTAATGTAAAATATTTCATCCACATTTTATCAATATTCTATTAGTGGATATTTGGGCTAATTCTAGCTTTTTTTTCTGTCATGAATCTTGCCATAAGAGCTATGGTATATTCCCTAGCATTAGAATTGTGATGTTACTATGTGTGCTAATGCAGGTTGAGCACCCCTAATTCAAAATGCTCCAAAATCTGAATCTGCCTACATGACATTCCAAAAGTTTCACATTTTGAAGCATTTTAGAATTTGGATTTTTGGATTAGGAATTATTAACTGTAAATTCTGTGCAAATATTCCAAAATCTGAAAACTTTTCAAGTCTAGAACATTTGGTTCCAATCTTAGAACATGTGTTATAAGTATTTTGGATAAGGAATACTTAACCTGTGTTCAACTTTGTAAGACATAGCAAATTATTTTAAAAAGTGGTCATACCAATTTACATATTTTCAGTAGAATATAAGCATCAATTTGATAGTATCCTGTCAATACAGGTTATCTTCAAGTTTCTCATTTTTGCTAATCAAAAGATAATATATATCACAAAAATCATAATTTTCATTTCCCTGATTGTTAACAAGTTTGAAAACCAATTCATATATTTATTGGCAATTGATGTTTACTTTTCTATTAGGAATGAAATAAGAGAAAAAAATATGGTACTTTTTTTGTGCTGTGGTATTCTTCCTGATTTTTTTAAATTTAGTTATAGATGGACACAATATCTTTATATTTATATCTATATATATATATTTATATATATAGTGCTGAGGATCAAACCCAGCACCTCATATGTGCTTGGCAAGTGCCCTACCACTGAGGTACAACCCCAGCCCCACTGTTTTTTAGTTGTTGTTTTTTTAAATCACTTCTTGATATTAAACCTTTTGTGTTTTATATAAGTATTTCAAATACCTTTTAACAATTTGTTGTTTGTTTTTTATTTTGTGTGTAAAAACAGATAATTTAGAAATCTCTTCTTTTACGGTTAGTACTTTTGTATCCTAAGAAACCCTTCATAAAACCTTTAGAACCAGCATGTAAAATCCTCATAAAGCATTGATCTGTTCATTTAAGTAGGACTTTAAAAATGTCAATATATATTATTTTCTTCAAGATCCTGTATTTAAAATATATTATGTCTGATAACACAGTTGCTACCCAACTTTCTCCTATTGGATATTTGATAGATAGATAGATACATCATTTTCTCCAATTTTTCTTTTCTTCCTTCCTTCCTTCCTTTCTTTCTTTTTTTTTTTTTATTTGCCGGGAGGGGGGTCAGTACCAGGGATTGCACCTAAGGACACTTAACCACTGGGCCGCATCCCCAGCCCTCTTTTTGTATTTTATTTAGAGACAGGGTCTTGCTAAGTTGTGTAGGGCCTTGCTAAGCTGCTGAGGCTGGTTTTGAACTCGTGATCCTCTTGTCCCAGCTTCCTGAGCCATCCTCCAATTTTTTTGTTGTCCTTACATACTAGTTTTATTTTATTTTTTTCTCTTCTTGGAAACAGCATAGGATTTTTTAAAAAAAATATTAACTATAGTAAACCTTTATTACTCTATTTCCATTTGTTGTTATTATTACTATTATTGAGTTATAATTACCATTTTCTGTTCATCACATTTTGTTCTATGCTAGCCTCACAGCCACCTTTTTTTGGTCTTTCTCTAAGTTTATTAAGAGTTAAATTAGTCTTATTATCCCATTTTTCCTTTACAGATTACAAAAATATATACACTATTTTACTATTTTTGGAGGTACTCTGGCTTTTTACTAGAAGAAATACCTTACCTGTCTACAGCTCTCTCCTAAATAAATGATGCTTGTACTAACTTTGTTTAGCTTCTTCCTAACTTACCTGGCATTCTTGTCCACTATTTTATTGGTGTCATTTCATAGCCTGCATATTGGGTGTCATTGTGCTATATTCAGCATTTGTTTAAATCTGTTCCCATGTTTACAAAATTTTCATAATTTCATCTTTCTTCTCAAATCTTGTTTCTGAAGTTGTTTTCCTTTTTTCCTCATTTATATTCTTTAAAATTATTCTTTAGTGATGATGTACTAGTGGCAAATTTTTCAAAATTTGAATGTTATTGGAAATGTCTTCAATATACTCTCAGTTTGAAAATATAGCTTTGTAGGTACCAATATTAGGTTGACAGTTATTTTCTTTCAGTATTTCTAATGTCATTGTTTTGTCATCTGGATTTTGCTATTGAGAATTGCAGCCTGTTTAGTTGTAGATTCATCGATGAGCTGTTTTTTTTTTTTTTAATAAGATCCTCTTCTTGTCTCAGATATAATGTAGTTTCATGAAAAATTTGCCTTAATATGGATAGATTTCTTTTTATTTATCCCATTTGGGAAATATTGTGATTTCAATATCTGCTGATCACTATCCTGCATCATTTCTGAAAATTGTCATTTGTTTTTCATTGTATTATTTCAAATTTTGTTATTTAATTCTATCTGTTCTTACCTTGGGTTTCAGATTATATCTGTGTTGAATTCTTATTCTTTTCTCCATACCTTCATTTCTTTATCTCTTCAAGCAGCTCTATATTCCATTTTACTCTCTCTCTCTCTCTCTCTCTGGTTGTATCTAATTAGATGTTTAACTAATCCTTCAAAAATCCTTCAAAATTTGTATTTTAACATAAATTTTAATTTAAAATATGCTGTTTAATTCTTAATTGCAATTTATTTGTTCATTTTTTACATTTTAAAACATTTTTTTCATATTTGTAATTGAATTTCATGTTTCCTTAAACATTTTATATGGAGTAATTTTATATTAGTCCCTGAAAACTCCCACATATGAAATTTTTCAGAGCCAGATATGTCATTTCTGCTTTCTCTTTGTTGACTTGTTTGTGTACATTGTGAGCTCACATTTACTTAATATTAACCCAGGGGATTGGGACATAGCCAGTTCAAAAAGTGTGTTTTCCTCAAGAGAGGATTTTGTAGGAATCCAAAGAATCTTCATTACTTGGGTCCTTGGATTAATTCAGGAAACTCAGGATTTAGATCCACCTTGAAGCTTCCTATAGCAAGCCCTCACTCTTTGAACCATATTGCTTTTATCAGTATTTACTACCACAGTAGCTTCTATTCTTAACTATTTATTGCTTACCATTTAGGATTTAGTTCAGAATACGAATGTGTGTATATGTACGTATGCCTGCATTGCATAATTATTTCAGGGAGCAAGAGAGAGGGAGAATGTCTGTGTTTGGTTTCAGAGGTGAAGATTATATTTCTTAGTAAATCATGCAGCTCAGCATTCACTAAAAAATACTTGTTCTTAAACATCTAATTTCTTTATGTTAGGTGATCCCTTAAAAACTCTCTTCTTACTCAGTTGTGGAATTAAATGTCTGATGCTCTTAAGTTTTATACAACTGAATTCCCCCCTCCCTACAATCTGTTCTCTGTATTAATTAGGTATATTTTATGAATCAATCATTTTATAAAAATCTCTCAGTTATATTTCTTATTATATCTGTGTCTTGTCAAATCTTTATTAAAGTTTATTAAACTTTATTAAATTGTTAGGTGCTAGACATTCTGGACTATTCCTGTAGAAGTGGGTGGTCTTCAAGTCCTTATTTATGTTTTTTGTAGTTTTCAGGCACTCTATGCAAATAAACTATACTGCCATTTAGAAATAAAGACTATGAAAGTGAAAGCATATTATCCATTAAATCAGTAGTAATGATGATAGTTATAGCTACAATATCTGAATGCTTCCTATGTATCTTACATCATGTAAAGGGGTTTTATAATTTAATTTATTTAAGCTTCAGAGTAAACTATAAGGTCAATACTAGTATTATTCTTGTGTTATAGATGAGGATAAATAATTTACCCAAGGCTTTTCAGCTTATGTTAATTATTCATTTTATTTTCTCATCTAAAATATATCAAAAATAAATTCAGAGGTTATTGGTGATATGGTGAGTGTTGGTTAATAATTGCTAGGCTTCCTGGTGTATCTCCTTTGTATGTATTGTTGCCTTGACCCATGAGAATGTTTTACAAAATATGTCGAAAAATGTTTTCCATTCTTCAAGAGGACTGAATTAGATGTCTATGGAGTGTTTTCTTCTTCTAAACACATAGAAACTGTATCATGTTTGGGCCCAAGCTTACTTATTCTTCTCAAACACTTTTTAAAAAAAAACAGAATCTGCTTGAGTGTAACTAGACATGAGCCATTACCTGGCTGCCTGGTACCATAATACTAATCCTTCACTTCAGTGCTTCTTGGTGTTGACCATTTATAGGAGTGTTTGAGCCTGGTGTGTAGTCACATGTAATATATATCCTCACAAATCTGTTATGGACTAAAATGTTCAGTTTAGAATTTTATATTTTTAATCATGAAACAAAAAGTTTGGGTGATAATAGAGTTGATATTGTGTTCAAATATCTATACATCTCTGAAAATAAATATATTAAAATTGAGCTACTGGGCAGACCTTTAGAAATACTAACTAAGGCATGGGAACAGCAATATATCCATGAAGAAAACATGTTCCTATTGAATTTATTCTGACAACAACAACAAAAAAAAAACACATAACATGGGAATTGGCTAAAAAGTTATACATGCAAGTATGAATTTTAGGATCTTAAGGACAATAGGAATTTCCTTATATTCTCTATAGAAGTTTGTCCAAGAATTAATTTAATTTCTTTCTTTCTTCCTTCCTTCCTTCCTTTCTACTTTCCTTTCTTCCTTTCCCTACTTATGGTCTTGATTCTAAATATGAAAAAAACCTTTTAGTAATAGGTTCAGAAAGAGGACAAATCTTTCCGTTTTTGGTTAATGAACTTGTTTGATTTTGACTTTTTTTTCCCAGTCCTTTTAGATTCCTTAATTTAATTTTCATTTCTCTAGTGTACAACAGAGCATTCTATTGTTTTAAATTGTTAGAAAATCTATCTAAAATGCTAGGAAGATGTTCATGTTTTTAACTTTTGTGAATCAAAGATTACCTTGAAAAAGGGAGCTAAAAGCACAGTAGCTAATACAAATCTACTCATTCTATATTAAGAAATTTCTAAATGCAGAAACTTTGTAATAAGAAATGCTAATCTTTTTTTGTATTGTCTTGAGAAATGCTAATCTTTTATATGAAAAATCTTTTCTTTTGTGAAAGGAATCATAGGAGGGCATATAAATTGACAACTAAATATTGAATGATAGCATTAGTAAAGAATATAGTATTATGTAAATTGAAAAAAAAATGAAAACCTAACTTGAATAATGATGGAATATGTATTATTCTAATGAATATTTATTTTGAATTTCTTATCTATGGTTTTAATCAATTTATTTATTTATTTATTTAGAGGTTCTAGGGATTGAACCACTGAGCTCCATCCCCTGCCCTTTTAAATTTTATTTTGAGACATGATCTTCCTAAATTGCTGAGGGTAACCCCCAGAATTGCTGAGATTACAGGCATGTACCACTGTACTCAGCTTCTTATCTATATTACTTTTAGAGGACTCTATATAAACCATAATTATTGCTGCCTTTGGTATACAACCAATTCATACTATCTTGATCTTTCAACAGCATATTTGAGTTGCCCACTAATTTTTATATAGGAGTGAGTAGATTCTGATATATAATAACAGTTTCTATTGCTGAAATGTTACAAAATTACTGAGTACTTACAATAATTCTTATATCATAATCATTTTATTTATTTCAACATATATTAAGTGGCAGGCACTATTTTAGCCACTTAACGTTTTACTCATTTAATTATCAGGCAACAATTAAATATTTGTATGCTGTTTTAAATTTAAAAATTAAAAGCACTTTATATACTTGTAAAGTTCTGTGCTATTTTTTCTTCTCTTGTTAGTTTTTCTGTTACCAGTTAATATATTCATTACCTTTCCTACTGCCCACACAATACCAACTATATTTTTCTTTTCTTATATTTTAAAAAATTATATGATCACCCCATATTTTTTGGATTATTTCTTAAGTGAAAGAGTCCAATAATTCCCTAAGCTGCAGAAAAATCAATCCTTTGTTTAACTTTTAAAGAAAGTTTGATATTAACAGCTCACTCTGTACTCATTTCTAAGGAGTAATAACAATGGTTAAATGCTTTAAAATTTAGGTCTTATTTTATGATTTTGATGGTTATTTCCCATTTTGATGAAGTACAAATGTAAAATTTTTCAGGCTTAGCAGAATTAGGTACCCTGTGTGATCCCTTACGGAGCTGCTCTATTAGTGAAGAAAATGGACTTAGTGCTGCCTTTACTATAGCCCATGAACTTGGGCATGTGTAAGTACCTTCTATTCCCTCAGTAATGTGCCTTCTATTTGTCATTGTACAGAATACCTAAAACTCTATCTTCAATTGAGTAGTGAACACGTTTATTTCTTTATAAAATAATTTTTATCCTTGCAGTGCTACCTCTAGCTCTTTTGTGTTCTGTTAGGTCAAACAGACTGTATAAATCAACAGACTTAGCAAAGAACTAGAACTTGACAATTCTTTTATTTGATTTACTTTATTGGATTACATGACGAGCATTTCTTGCCTCTATTCCTTGTTACCCTATACATGACCAAGTATTGTCCAAATACCATCTTATGGGAAGGCCTGCAGGGGCTCCTGGTGCTGAGGAAATCGCACACAATTTCTTACTCTTATAGTTCAGAGTCTCAACAGTGGACATAGCCCATGGAAATTTCTATTTGTTAAAATATTTTTAAAGCCCCCCCAACACTCTATATTTTCTCATAAAAATTTGTGATTCTGCTATCTATTCCTGCTTTACTAAAATTCTGCTGGGACTCTATGCTGTAAGAATGGAGGCCATGATTTCCCATGATGTCTTTTGAGCATCCATTAAAAATCAGAAATCCCTACAACTCATCCTCTGAAAAACAATTTCAACTGTACCCCCAGAGTATATCCTGAAGTTTCTTTTGTTACTTTGCTAATAAGAAACTGAGGCTGAATTACCTCCTGTAGTTTTATCACATTTTTTTTCTGATTATTCCTCAAGATGTCATTAGAGCTTTTATGTAGAAAAATTTGAAATGGACATAATTTTTAGTTAACTAGCACCTTTTCAGTTCCCTTTTAGCATAGTTATGTCTTAGCCAGTTTTGTAAGTTTGTTGAAGAGAGCACCTACAGACTGTTGAAGTATTGCAGCAACAAGTAGGAAGTACCATTTGCTAGTCTCCAAAGCTGACAAGTCATAGAAGCCTTTCTCTCAAAGAGTGCTTAGAATTTCTTTTCTTCCTTAGAAACTTTAGGTGTCTAGAATATGGGTAAGTAGTTCAATTGAAACAGTGTTTTAAATACAAGTCTCAGCATGCAAAAACCTGAATTAGGCGATTTTGGTGATTCTTCTAAACTTGGGTTTCTACTTGAGTCTGTAAAAGAGTGTAGGACTTGTGGTTAACCTGCTTAATATTTAATATTTTTGCTATCACTGTGAAGTATTGGTTGTCCTTTGGAAATTTTTTATTATTCTAATTCAATCCATTTTACTTAATAATTGTAGAGCAGAAACAGTAGTTAGGTTGTTTCATATAATACAGATGAATAGTATAGAATGATTTGGAGTCAGGGATTAAAGAAGTCTTTTGGATACTGTATGAACATTCAAAGACCTAGAATGTTAATGGGGTATCGCCTTACCTAATATGTCCACGTGTATCTCTAGGATATCCTTGTTGAAACCTGCAGGCATTTTTATGTGAATGCTATGCTTGTGTTGTGAGGAGGTGAGCCAGATTCCAAATATTTTTATTGTTTAGACTCAGATGCCAAGTTGACAGTGCAGCTGATCACAGGTATAATCTAGTGCTTCTCAGAAATCCTGTGCTTCCAAACATGAAATTATACTGCCTTATGGAGTGATCAAGAGTGAAAAAAATCCAATATAATCAGATTAATATATTTCTTCATTATATTATAGTATAAATATGAGATATGTTACGAATGTTGTGTTTATTTTTGATAGTATTCTTTAATTCATGTTTTTATTTTTAGATTTAATGTTCCACATGATGATAGTTTTAAATGCAAAGAAATTGGAATTAAACATCAGTATCATGTAATGGCCCCAACTTTAAATTACCACACGAGTCCTTGGACCTGGTCAAAATGTAGTCAGAAATACATCACTGAATTCCTAGAGTAAGTCTGAATTTATATTTCTTTAGTTGAGTAATTGGTTATTTACTACTAGATTACGAGATATGAAAGGTGTATTCTTTAATTCATGTTTTTATTTTTAGATTTAATGTTCCACATGATGATAGTTTTAAATGCAAAGAAATTGGAATTAAACATCATTATCATGTAATGGCCCCAACTTTAAATTATGAAAAATTTGTTTTTCATTGTTTAGACTTAAGCTTACTTTCACTGCACAAATGGATATTTAAAAAAAGAAAAGCATGTATATACATATAATTTCTCTCCTTTTAAAAAATATTTTTATTGTAGTTCATACCTACCTGTCATGTTTTTTTTTTTTTTTTTTTTTTTAAATATTTTATTTATTTTTTAGTTTTCGGCGGACACAACATCTTTGTTTGTATGTGGTGCTGAGGATTGAACCCGGGCCGCACGCATGCCAGGCGAGCGCGCTACAGCTTGAGCCACATCCCCAGCCCCTGTCATGTTTTTTATTTGAACTCTTTATTATGATGAAAACTCTAATTGGGAGAAACTTAATGGCAATCACAGCTTCCTTATGTGCTTTTGAGTTTTTCAGAAGTTATTAGTCATATTTTGGGATGAGTTGAATGGCTGAAGTTTGGATGCTCCTAAAGAACGGAGAATAGTTCTAAAGTCAATTATGAGTTACACAGTTAATGTAGCTGTGAACAGGCACAGAGACATGGAGCCTCCAACTTTGCATACTCTTCTGGAGGCCCTTTCTAACTCTGAAGAGAGGAGGCAGATAAAGTTTTCTTGCCTTCTCATTTACCTTCTGCTAATTTTCTCTACTTTCCACTTTTTTATTTTCATCTAAATGGTGTTTCTATCACTGAAACTTAACCAAATGCAAACCTAAGCTCTTTACAGAAAATCTTTTCTCATAAATGCATTGCTCCTTTATTTTTTCTACTGTTATATACAGTCTAATCACCAATTTAACAGTGTTAGTATTTTCTATAGCTACCTTTCTCTTGATGAAAACTATGGGAATTAGTTAACTTTGCTTTAGAATGTATGTTCATAAGTATGACCTATAATTACAACCAGCAGAGAATCATTTATCTTTATATGGGAATTTAATTTAAAAACCCAACATATAGTTTCTGATCTGTACATAGTTCATCTAGCTTTTTTCTATGATTAACTAATGTATTGATAAAAAATACCACTGAGTGTGCTTTTTTTTTCAGAAACGAATAATATTTTTATTCTCTTCAATGGAGATTTTATACATGTTCATTTTATTGAAAAATTAAAATGCAATTTTAGCCAGCAAAAGTTTCCAAAAATATTTCTTTTAATTATTATTACAGTGGAACGAATTATTGCTTTTAGCACAGTTGAAGTAGCTGAACATTTTCACAGAGTTTTCTATAGATTGGGCATTTCATAAAAAAAGGAGTGACATACATATTTCCCATGCTATTTACTGTTTTTCTAAGTAATTTAAATATATCATGTATAATCATGCATTCCTTAGTGTTGGGGATACAGTTTGAGAAGTACCTCACTAAACAATTCATCATTGTGTCAACATCTTAGAACATGTTTTCTCAAACCTGTATGATGCAGGTCATTCACTAAATGTAACCTTGATGTAATCAAGAAACACAGTAAACAGAATATAATGTCAGGCTGTTGCTAGCATAACAGCAGAGTTTCACAGTAAATTTTATTATAAAGAGGAGTATACTAAAATAAAGATTGAAACGTGTAGTATAGTAAATACATAAAACCACTTATTATCAAGTATGATATACTGAACATAGTTGCATGTTCTACACTTTTATACTACTGTCAGTGCAGTAGGTTTGTTCACACCAGCATCACCACAGACGTGTGAGTAATGTGTTACACTACAACATGATGACAGCTATGATGTCACTGGGCAACAGGAAGTTTTAAGCTCTGTTCTAATCTTAATGGCACCACTATCTCATAGGAGGCCCATCATTGCCTAAAACATTGTTATGTGGCATGTGACTATACTCTAATAGTAAATGACAAGACATTACCACTCTCAATTCAGAGATAAGGAGACCCAGGCTCAGGGAGATTAAGTATTCTAGGAAGTGGTGGCACCAAAATGTAAGCTCCCAAAGCCAGTGACCTTGACTGTGCTGTGCTCTCTCTCCTTGAGAAACACGAAACTTGGAGATAGCATGAGACTTTTTGAAATTCCTTTTTTGTTGGTTTAGAACTAAAACCGTGCTCTCAAATGATTTGAAAACTAATTTTTATTTTTTCCATATTTTGACAGTTTGGACATTATATTTAAGACATTACTACTGGATAGCAAAGTAGACCCAACTTTGTGATATAAATTATATTGCAATGAATTTATGTTTATTTCTTGTCATTAAATTTTTTTGTGTGTGGTATTGGGGATTGAACCCGGGGTCTTGTATATTGAAGCAAGTTCTCTACCCTGAGCTACATTCCCAGCCTATTTTTTTTTTATTTTTTATTTTTTAGTTTTGTATTGTGCAACTTGGGAATCAAGCGCAAACAATCATACTAAAAATCCCTTGTAAACTGTGAGGCTGTCTTATGCATGTTGACATGCATTGGTTTTTAAATTATGGAAAATATTCTTCTTGAAAGTGTAAGAAAAACAGCAAATGTGATGAATGTGGTACTGAAATGTATCCACTTGCATTCACAACATGTTATTTTCTGTCACTGGTACAGCACTGGCCATGGAGAATGCCTTCTTGATAAACCGAATGGAAGAATATATGACCTGTCTTCACAACTGCCTGGGTTAATGTATGATGTAAACAAACAGTGTGAGCTTATGTTTGGTCCTGGATCACAAGTGTGTCCTTATTTGGTAAGAAAAATTCTGTCCCTTTGTTCAAGAACTACCGTAAAGTTATAGTTAGTATATATTTCAAAATTTATGTTTATTCTCTTGAATGGAAGAGAACAACTGTCTTTAAATCTCTGAAAAATCTGGAATTTGGAAGAAAGTGGGTAAAAATAAAAAACTAAAACTAGTTGAGTTCTTATTGTTTACCAGGTACTATGTGAGATACTTAAAATTTGTTAATTCTCACAGATTCCTGCGAAATACTCTCATTTAGAAATTTGAGCCCTAGAGTAGTAGTAAAATTTTAAAATTAAAAGTCTTCAAATATTTATTTTCAAATGATATTTTTTTGGGGTGAGGGGAAATGTAGATGTTTTGATATTGAGTTTTTTTTAAAGGCCTCAGGAATCTAACATATACTACATTTTCTTTTACATAGAGTCAAATACAGAAGAATTAAAGTTGTGACTTATTTTTCACTAAGCTGTTACTTTATCATTTACTTTGAGGATTTTAATATGGTATTTTCTTTTAGTTTCCATTAAAATAAATGATCCTAACACTTTTGTTACTGGATCTATAATTATGATTTTCTTTTACTTTATGGTAAATTTAGGAGGTAGTTTATTTATTTATTTATTTATTTTTAAAGAGAGAGAGAGAGAGAATTTTTTAATATTTATTTTTTAGTTTTTGACGGACACAACATCTTTGTTTGTATGTGGTGCTGAGGATCGAACCTGGGCCGCACACATGCTAGGCGAGCGCGTTACCGCTTGAGCCACATCCCCAGCCCTAGGAGGTAGTTTATAATCAATATCACTGCTTTTGCAAATCCATGCCTCATTTTGCCAAGCAGAGTAGGCACTTTGCTTTCTTCATGCCTTTGCACAACTTTGCCAAATTGATTTTTGCTTTCCTAGATTGTGAGGCTCATTGGTCCAGAAATGCAGACTTATTTATTCATTTAAACACATACATACTGGTTGAGCATCCCTAATCCAAAAATTCTAAATCTGAAATGCCCCAAGTTTTTGAATATAGATGTCATACCCCAATCCAATCTCATATGTGTCCTAGTCAAAACACAAGTGCACTAAAAATAATGTAAAAGGGATTACCTTCATGCTATGTATATAAAGTGCATATGCAACAAATGAAGTTTTGTTTAGGCTTGGGTCCCATCCCCAATTTATCTTATTGTATATGTGCCAGTATTCCACAACCTGAAAATATACAAGATCTGAAGCACTTCTATTTCCAAGCATTTCAGATATGGGATTCTCGACTTATATTTTCAGTGTCCAGTTCAGGATCTGCAACAATAATGGCTGTCCCAAAATAAATGCTTATTGAATATTGAATGAATGCATGGATAAGTCAGTTAACAGTGAAAGTAGGGACATGCAAATCTCATTACACATAGGAATATAATTCCTAAAACCCTAAATTCATAATAAAAAATATTAATAAGCCTTTAAACATTTACTGTGCAGGAGGAAAGATTTTCTTAATATTTCATTATAAAATATACATTGCTTCCTGATCTGATTTAGACTCTAGATAAACTTCAAGTTTAAATTCAGAAAAAGAAAGGAATTATTTTGAGTATATGCCCTATGGCCCTGCAGGGATTTTAATTTCTTGTGCAAACTTCAGAACCCTTTGTTCAAAAATTTAAAGTATGCATTATATTCACAAAATAGGAAACTTCAGTACATTATACAGCATTTTTATGCACATTATTCATACATTCCACCACTATATCAAAAAGGACTTTTTGGAAACTCATGAATAACATTTAGCAACAAAAAGTCCCTTTAGAAAAATATCTCGTCAAGAAAGAAAAATGTCTCATGTAAATTTTAATATTTATACTCCAGTTCGTTTCTCCCATTGTTCATCAATGAATAAAATTTAACCTTTCTTCAAAAGTAAATGTTGCCATTTTTTTGTGCTTAGAGGAAAAACAATGACTAGAACTTACTTTGTAAGGATGTTTGGTAACCATTTCCAGCTTTGACTTTGAAACTAGGAAATAGATAGGATCAACTTATGATATGCATTATACTGAATTGGTCTGGGTGATCATATGCTTATGCTTGATTGCCTGCCTTTGGTTTCTCTGCAGAGACAATGCCGGCGTCTCTGGTGCACAAGTGCAGAAGGAATTCACAAGGGCTGTCGAACTCAACACATGCCACTGGCAGATGGAACAAACTGTGGTCCTGGGATGGTAGGTTTTCTCAAAGGGTGAGTCTTGTATCAAGAGTTTATCCAAGGATGTGATTGCTCTGCATTTCAGCACTCTGTTCATTACTTGCTGTCAATTTTTGTTTAGCTGGTTGAATTAATGTTATTGCCATGTTTTTTGGATGTACACATTGTCGGCTGAATTGAATGTTCAATTTTACCCTTTTTTCAGCATGTAGCAGATGAATATTAAAGTTAGATTTAATCATCATATAATTACACAGACACACACATATAATAGTATTTTTATTAAAATTAATACAGACGTCAAGAACCTAACCTTTCAGCAAATCCCCCATATTTAAAGATGTTTCCATTACATACATTTTATGCCCATAAAATTCAGTCAAGTATAATTGAATGTGTTAAGTGGTGTCTTCAAATCTTTGTGGTTTTACATGTATTAAAATACATTATGCCCCTAAAATAACTGCCTACCAAACTACTTGTTTACTATTCTAACATAACTCATGAAGTCATCTAAATCTGTCAATACAGTGTTGAATGATAAGTTTCAACATGATAAGGAAATGTTAGGTGGGGCTGATGTCAAATTGTGCTTTATGCTCCAAGATGTTCACCTGATTCAATCTGGGATTGGACCTTATTCTGTTCCTTAGCAAACTTTCAGTTTACTGTATGTCATGAATCTTTAGGACTAATGTCGTGTGGCCAAAATGGGGATCTACTATTTATAGGTAATTTATTGGGTAGCCTAATTCAATTTGAGCATAAACATTATTTTTTGAAACAGAGGCATATGAGTACAATGCATAGATCTTATGTTTATGGTCTGATAGGTTTTAACAAATACAAATGCCAACATCCCAATCAAAATTAGAACTCCCTTAAAATTAGAACACTCCTATCACTCTGAAAAGTTCAGTCTCCCCTGTTTCTGGATCATTTCCTGTCTCTCCAAAGAAACCTCTTGTTTTGATTTCTATCTCTACAGATTAATTTGCCTGTTCTTGATCTTAGTGTAAGTGGAAACAGTGTAGATTTTGCGGGGAGGGTGGATCAGGCTTCTTTTGTTCAACATAATGTTTTGAGCTTCATCCGCATTCTTGGGTGCATCAGCACTTGTTCCTTTATAAGGAAGTGAAATTCAGCTGTCCAAATGCACATAATTTACCTGCTCTCCTGTCTATAAGATTTGGATCCTTTCTGGCTTGGGGCTGTTATGAACAAAGCTTCTATGAGCATCTCTGTGCAAGTCTCCTTGTAGACATGTTTGTGTTTCTCTTGGGATAGACTTGCGTGTCATAGGATAAGCATGTGTTTAACTTCATAAGAAAGTGCCAAACCATTTTCCAAAGTATGTGCAACACTGCACTTATCTCAATGTAGAAAGTTTCAGTTGCTCTGCATTTCTTTCTAGATTTTGATATTGATAATCTTTTAAAAAAATTAGCCAATTTAATTAAGTACAAAATGAAACCTCATTGTGACTTTAATTGCATTACCCTGATTATTATGTATCTTGAGCATCATTCTATTTGCTTACTAGCCATTTGAATAGCCATTTGGATATTTCCCGTATGAGATTGAAAGGTGGGCATGGTTGGGATTCTAGGTCAAAGTGATGAGATAATGAGATGTGTTTTAAAGCCAATGAAGATTAAAAAACAGAGATGGCAGTTAGGTTGCAACATGTGGGGCATGACAGATATACATTCTCTTTATATATTTATTAAAAATAGTGAACCCTATATGTTATCTCTATTCAGTATTAAATGAACCTCTAATTGGTGGGACATTATAAATAAATAAATTGTGTCATAACATTTTCCTTTAGTTCCTTTATTTTGTGACTGTCTAAAAAATGAGTCTGTGTTAGATACTTTTGGTAGTAAAGCAATTTGTGTGAAGCCATTGTGAATCCATCTGAATATGAGTTAATTGTACTACATGATGAATAGTATAACCTATCTTTTTATGCTATATTCTCTCTTTATATGTAATTATGTATGTATGTGTATTTGTATGTATGTGTGTATATGTTTGTATATATGTTATCTATAGATATTTATAGATATCTATATCGAGAGAGAGAGAGAGAGAGAGAGAGAGAGAGAGAGAGACAGAGAGAGAACACACATGAGAACATGAGGATTATTTTAATTGTTTCTGGGAGATTCCCACAAAATGCACTTGTACATAATACAGTCTATTCTGATACTTTGTTTTTGTTTACCTCTAACAGCCTTATGCTATTAGGTAATTTGTTCTAATGGAAGGCACAAAGCAATTTTTTTTCTGCTGATAAAATTAAGAATAGGATTATTTCATTCAACAAAGATTTTTCAAGGGTGTTCTATGCCAGGCACTATTCTCAGTGCTAAAGATATATAAGCAAATAAAACAGATGCTCTCCCTGCTTTCCCAGAGTTTACATTCCAGGAACAAATTAGAAATATTATGAATAATTAATATATAATAGTGCCATGAAACTCATCAATGCCATAGACAAGAGAAACAGAGCAGGAAGAAGACGGAAGTTTTCTAGTAGGAGAAGATAGATTGCAATGCAAAATCTAGTGGTCAAGGAAGAGCTTCATGAAGTTTGCCAAATGAGCTCTCTTAAAGAAGGTAAGGGGATTAGCTGTGAGGATATCTGGGATAATCAAGTTTCAAACAAAGAACAGCTCAACTGCTAATTCTAGAGAAACCTGGAGTGTTCAGTGCAGATCACAGAGCACCTCACCATTGGAGTAAAGTGAAGAGAGTGAGACTTGGAGGAACTAACTGGCGAAATATTATATAGAGCCTTGAAGACACTGTAAGAACTTAGTGTTTACATAAAGTAAAGTAATTGAAGGATTTGAGGAGAGTCATCATCTGATTTGACTTAATTAATTTAAAAACTGGTTTTAAAAAGGATCATTCTGGCAACCATGTTGAGGCTAAACAGTAGAGAAGAGGAATGGAAGCAGGGTATCTATTGCAGTGACAGAGGTGATAGACACTGGTAGCTCAAGCCAGAGTGGGAGCAGCAAGGTTGAAGAAAGTTCAATTCTTGATGTATTTAAAAGTAACCAGAGCATTTGCTAATGTTTCTGATGTGGACAATTTGATGAGGAAGAAGAGGCAGGATGACTAGCTTTCTCACTGAACAACTTAGATCAATTCAGGAGAAGCAGGTTTTGATGGGGGAGAGGCAGGATTTTGATTTCCAGATTCCTTTTGAAATGTTTTTTAGAAAATCAATTAAACACGAGCAAGCAGCTTGTGTACAGATGCTATTGGTTCCAATATTAAGAGAACACAAAGACAAATTAAAAATAGCAGAAGATACTTGTGATGGATTCATTATTAAAGAAGAAAGAAAACCAAGCATATTCCAAGACTAAGGATGGTCCTGGACACCAAGAGGAAAGGAAGTATATCAAATAGGAAGAGTGATTAACTTGAGTCACACATTGCTGGTAAATCAAAGAAGACAGAGAATGAAAACTGACCCTTGGTTATAGCAGTGCAAAGACATCCATGACCTACACCTGAGCAGGTTCATGCAGAAATAGGCCATGAAGGCCTATTTCATGAAGGCCATGAAAGCCTGGCTGGGGTGATGTTATGAGAACATAGGCAGAGAGCGTTAGTCAATAATAAGACTGGAGAACAGTACTGGAGCTGGTGAAGGAAGTGAGAGCTAAGAAAGATTTCGTTGTTGCCATTGTTTTGAAGTGTGTATGTTAATGGGAATGATCTAATGAAGTACTTCTCAAACTATCTGTAGTAAAAGATTGTATTTTTTTGTTCAAAATTTCTGGTTATTTATTAACTGGTACTTTTATATAAAATAAAAATTATTATAACTAGAAAGATAAAATGAAAAAGAGAAAATAGAAGTGTATTCCAAATTTCTCTGTGGAAAACAGTATGGCCTTTCTTGAAGAAATTAGAAATAGAGTCATTTTATAATCCAGGAATTCTACTTGTGGGACTAAATTCCCAAGAATTGAAAGCAGGATCTTGAAGGGATATTTGTACATCTGTATTCATCACAGTATTATTAACAACAGCCAGAAGGTGGAAATAGCCCAAGAGTGCATGGATGGGGAGATGGGTAAATGAAATGCTATATGTACATATGGTATGATTTGAATGTGTGTTCCTCCAGAATTCATGTTGAAATTTAATTTCTGATGTAATAATATCGGGAATTAGAGCCTTGTACAAATGGGCTCATATATGGAAATTTACAAAGGAATGATATTCCATTCTAATAGTCCTTAAAAATGAAGGATGTTCTGACACATGCAACAACATGGTTCTTAGCAACATTATGCCAAGTGAAGTGAGCCTGTCGAGAAAGACATTCTATGTGATTCTCATTATAAGATGTGTCCAAAATAGTCAAATTCATAACAGTAAAAAGTAGAATGGTAACTACCAGGAGGCAAAAGGAGGGATAAATGGGAGTTGTCAATGGGTGTAGGGATTTACAAGATGAAAAAGTTCTGGAGAATGCTTGTACAACATGGTGAATATACTTAATACTACTGAACTGTACACATAAAAATGGTTGTGATAGTAATTTTATGTGTATTTTAACACATTTAAAAAATAAATGCAAGCCAATTTTCAAATTATTTACTTCAATAAACATAAACTTATTCTATTAGAATCTTATGAAAGTTTCAAAAGCGGGGCTGGGTAAATAGCTCAGTGGTAGAGCACTTGCATACCATGTGCAAGATTTAGGTTTGGTCTCCAGCATCATGTGCCTAAAAAAATGTTTCTAAACTCTCAGTTCTGTGCTTACCAAACTGGTAAAGATTGGTTTCAGTGCATGGACACCTTGATTAGCTGTCACCAAGCAATGATGATATAAGACAGATGGCAGGGAGAATTGCTAGAGTAATGTTTTAAGTAGTGAGAAGAGATGGGGATAAGGGATTGGAGGGATTGACTTCTTTTAGTATCATAGAGTTTTCATGTGCACAAATAGATGACAAAGAAGAGTATCTGGGTACAGATGCTGTTGGTTGGATAGAAGGAGTAGGAGGGAATTGTGGTCAGATTCTTCTCTAAGTTTCTGTTTTATCAATGAAAGTAAGAAGCAAGGTCATCTGAGAAGATGAATGAGATGTAGAAAGTTATCTAAAAGAGTGGGAAAGAGGATTGATATCTTGGAGTAAAATAATGAAACCGTGAACATATGCAGTATTAAACTAATATTTGTTACTTCTTTTTAAAAAACATCATTTTCCATTTTACTATGTTTTTTTTTTTCCAGTGAGCCTCTAAGTCTCAAAGGGAAGAGATTCTTTTTGCATTCCACAGATATTATGGTTACTCAGTAGACAGGAAATATTCATAAGTTGTTGTCAAATGTAATCCTATTTCTGAATTAATAGTGGTTTACTTTAAATTGTATATTGTCCTTCTATTAATCTTGATAATATTATTATAATAACTGTGATGTTCCAACTAGATATACATGAGTCATTTCTCTCTGTGTGTGTTATTTTTGTAGCACTGCCACCATGGGCTGTGTGTAAACAAAGAAATGGAGACACGACCTGTAGATGGTGAATGGGGACCATGGGGACCTTACAGTTCTTGTTCAAGAACATGTGGAGGTGGAATCAAAAGCACAGCCAGGCTCTGTAATCGTCCTGAGTATGTCTTTTTTATGTCACTGTAAATTAAGATTAACTCAAGGCACCAGAAAGTAAACACCAGTTTCATTCACTTCTAAAACTGGAGGTCAGTCTGTAAGTTTCTGAGATTCAGAAAACTTCTGGAATATTTTAACCATATTGCTATATATCTTTGTAGATTCAGACTTTTAAAAACATAAATAGATAAAATTTTATAATTGGAACTGATACAGAATCATTTTCTTCTTTTTTTAAATTTGTTTTCTGATTTGATATCAGTTAGGAAATATTTTTGAATATGAATGACAGTTACACTGGCATTTTCACATTTACTGTATTTCTAATGAAAAGTCCTGGATCCTTTCACTTAGTTTTGGCTCTTTTGGAGAAAATTCATAGTTTGGTTGGCAGTTTTTATTGTCTTATATAATTTTATGTGTCACATTTTCATTCTCTGCTCATGTTGTAGATGCATCATTGTATTTAGCTGAATAAGTAAACATATTCCCCCCTCATTGAAATATATAAAAGAGCTTAGAGAGCTCATAAAGATTTTTTAAATGAATGTTTCTGTTGTATATATGTTATATAATTTGGCAATCAATGTGACATTCTTTCAATGTCTTATTAAAAACATTTTAATGCAGAAATGTGACATACTCTAAATAAAATATAAATTCATTTGAACTTTAGAATAGTTACATTATACTAAAAATATTTATATTCTAAAATTCTGAAGAGTTTTTATTTTCTAGCATTAAGTTGAAATAGAGAGGGATATAGATTGATGCCATGAAACTCCTTGAACTGAGTGGGAAGAAGTATATACATGATGGAGATGCACATATACTTCCTTTTGAACATGCTGTCTTCCTTTTTTATTGTCTTTGGCTATTACATGTCTTTTTTTTCCCTCAGAAAGTAAAACATCCATTTTGATGTTTTACAAAAAAAGTTCATTATGAGGGTCTGGGGTTGTGGCTCAGTGGTAGAGCACTTGCCTAGCATGCGTGAGGCACTGGGTTCGAACCTCAGCACCACATTAAAAACAAAACAAAACAAAAAAACTAAATAAACAAAATAAAGGTATTGTGTCCATTTACAACTAAAAAAAAAAGTCCATCAGTTTTTTTTTTAATTAATTTGTTTATTCTAATTCGTTTATATGCATCATTAGTTTTTTGTTGGTTCTGCCTCCCAGGCCTCAGCATCCATGTGAAGGTAGATATTTTTATAGTTATTAGCCAGAGAATTGCTTAAAAATCCCCTTTACATACTTCCATTTAAAAACTTATGTTAGTGGAACGTCAGTGGTTTTCCTGATCCTGGAAAAGAATGGAACAATTATAGAAGTAAATGGCAGAAATAATGTTGTACTGATGTGCTTTAAAATGTAATGAATTTGACTAGGCCAAGAAACGGAGGAAAGTACTGTGTGGGCCGCAGGATGAAATTTCGATCATGTAACACTGATTCATGTCCAAAAGGCAAGCAAGACTTTCGAGAGAAGCAGTGCTCTGATTTTGATGGTAAACATTTCAACATCAATGGTCTTTCCCCTAATGTGAGGTGGCTTCCAAAGTACAGTGGGAGTAAGTATTTATAATGTCATTAGTGTAAATTTTTTTGAGACCTTAGAACACATGGCTTTATTATTGTACACCCCAAAATTGACTTTTTAAAATTTTTACAGTTGCCATAAAAGATCGTTGTAAGCTCTATTGTCGGGTTGCTGGAACCACTAACTTCTACCAGTTGAAGGATAGGGTTGCTGATGGTACCCCTTGTGGAACTGAAACCAATGACATCTGTGTTCAAGGCCTGTGTCGGGTAAGTAAACTAGAAGTTTCTATACATGTATAGTGATTTAATAACAATAGTTTTTTTTCTATTTCTCTAACCAAATATTTCTTTTGCTGCTTCATGGTACATTCTTATGAATTCCAATAAAGTAATTTTTATATTATGCTATCTATAGGAATAGGATTAATTTGTTACTAGGCAATTCTCTGTCATTTAATAATGACTCATAAAGCACTAAGTTTGCTGATTCTGGTTAGCTTGTGCTATTCAGAATCAGGATAAAGATGATGTGAGCTTCCTAAAATGGTAGAACATACATTCATACAGGTTGTAAACTACTTTTGCTACTTCGATTGTGACCTTCTATGGTGACATTTAGTCAACATCTTTGTTAAACCCTCTCTCTAGCCGTCTGGCTCTCATTTCTTACATACATTCAAGGAGTGTCTTAATTGTACTAATTGTGTTTTGAAGCAAGCTGGCTGTGATCATGTGTTAAACTCCAAGGCCAAGAGAGACAAATGTGGAGTGTGTGGTGGAGATAACTCTTCATGCAGGACAATGGCAGGTGTCTTCAACAGTGCCCATTATGGTAAGCTGTGTATTTGCTTCAAGTTTTCCCTTTTGCTTGATCTAGTAGTGAGTATATAATGAAGGTATAATAGTAACACTTGGTTATTGTTTTGTGTACTCTATACTCTTAGTTCAAAATGATTGTGAAAGAAATACTTCCTAAATATGAGAAAATTACATCTTATACCAAATGCACTTTTAAATCCATGAATTCACCACCCAAGACAAATCTAATTTTTAAAGATAAATTAGGTGCATTATGAGAGAAAAAGTAAATTCAGTGTTATTTGACCACAATTTGTGAATAGTCCCCCAATGAATGAAGTGCTTTTAGTGTTGTTCCTGTAATCTAAAATGTATATACTTATGACTATTTTTCAGGAAACCTGCTCTGAATTATTATCATTGAAACACTATTTTTGGTCTGACCTGGTCAGTCTGTTGTTTTTGTTATCAATATTGAAAATGTTGATTGAAGGAGAAGGATGAAACCATTAACATAATATTTAATCATAATTATCATCACATTTGATTTCCCAAGCAGTATCTGAATGATAGATATAATTGATATTTGGCCATGATTTGATTTTTACTCAAAATTGTTATGAGAATATCTCAAATATTTTCCATTCTATAATTTTCTGGACAAACATTTTTTTTTTCTTTTTTATGAAATAAAAGCAGAACATTAAAACTCGCCTTGCACAGTAAAAGTGTATTATTTACTACTATGCTTTTCAGCATTAAATTGTGTTCATAAGTGTTTAAACATGTGTTGGGTTATTATGAATTACTTCAATTATAGAGGTATAACTTAAAACTCAAAAATTTACATTTTTATTTATACAGCAAGTGTAGTACATTTTATACTTTCCCATGTTAGTGGTACTTATGATCATTAGTTATTAGATGATTTGACATACTATTTTTCTGGTTGTTTTTATTCATTGTTTCACAAAAGCTATACAATTTGTTCTCCTTCTATTATCAATGACACATACTTAGCATAATCTGTTGAAAAGTATATTTTTTAAGGAGAAAAGCCACATATTTCAAATTAGTATTAAATAGTTAACCTGCAAAAACTGTACTGTGAATTAATCAGTTTGTAAAAAATGGAGAAAAGTGAAGTCATTTGCAGTGGTTTGAATAGCACTGACGACGTTTCTGCCCCCTGGTGGTCACCTTCATCTTGTTGCCTTTGAAATGTTTCAAGCTTGCTTTCTTGAAAAACTGCACTAGCAGACATAAATAGTGAAGTAGTGAACAGGGATATTTTATAGTGAAGAGAAGATGAGTTGAATTTATTCTTGAATATTTATAATCTATAACTAATATGTATGTATGGTTTATGCAGACTCTTTAAATCATCTATCACATTATATTTAAAATGGGATGACTTAAAGAGATAGAAAAAGGCTGTTGCAAGACCATTCAAAGGAATCTGATATCAGGATCACAAATTTAAGCTTTTATAAAACTGCTACTTCCTAAATTTTTCCCAAGTTTTAAAATTTTAGTGCATGAGAAAAATTACAATTTCTCTCATTTATTAAGTAGGGGAAAATACTAATAAGAAAGGACAAGTGAAAACTTAGATTAATGTAACTAGAATATAATCATTTGTATACTTACCCTGAGAGTATTTGGACAACTGTGTAATATGAGTTTTTCTGTATCAAGAAAACATTTTTTTCTTGTTTAATGTATGTTTGGTATAGTATTCTCTTTTTTTCTTCTTTATTGAATTTGGTCTTGTACAATAGAGGTATTACTTTTATTTACTTCCAGTAAACATTTAATTTTTCTCATAGCTAGTTTATTAATAGGCTTTTAAAATCAATGCAGAATTTGGCAGGAGGTAGATATAGGGAATCCAGATTGTTGGGGGCAAATAAATATAGGGATTCCAGGTTATACTACAAACTAAAAGCTTATGAAAGAGATTGAGCTTTTTCTTCATTATTATTATTTCTTAGCAATGAAATTTGCTGCTTACTATCTGTTAACATTATCACACCAAAGACCAATTTTATTGATATCTTTCAGATTTGTGAATAGCATTTGAAATTTCATATTTTTCCCAGGAGAAAATCTAAATGCATTAGTCACACTTAAAAATGAATACCCCAATTGAGCATTTAAGGGGCTCAATTAATATACTAATTTTATTCTATCCTATGTTAAGAATTCTATGCTGGACATGGTGATGCATGCCGGTAATTCCAGTGTCTGGGGAGATTGAGGCAAGAAGATTTCAGGCCAGCCTCAGCAACTTAGACCCTGCCTCAAAGAATAAAAAGGACTGAAGATGTAACTCAGTGTAGAGCATCCCTGTGTTCATTTTCTAGTACTGAAAATAATAATAAAGATAATAAAAGAAGTTTAGAAATAAAAAATTAGGAAGAGTTATACTTTAAGAATCTGAAACTCTATATGCTTCTAGATAACAGCTGCTTTTCTTCAGTCCTCAGTAACTTATTAAGGTATTGGTTCAAAAGGAATGACCAGTTTCATTTTTTAAAGGTAAAATGAAATTAAGACTGTCTATATCATACATTTAGTAGTAATGTCCTCTAGGACATCTGCTTTTGTGAAATTTAACATTTATAAAATTATATTGCAGGTTACAATGTCATTGTAAAGATTCCCACAGGAGCAACAAACATTGAAATTCTTCAGCACAGCTATTCCGGAAAACCAGAAGATGACAATTACCTTGGTAAACATTTTTAGTAAGCAGCAGCCAATATGTGGTTTGTGTGCAATTTCATGGAGGTCTGTGGTTGATGTGAATTCCTGGAAGGCAACAAGAATCCCTGGAGCAAACATGTAGTTTCAGTTCTTATGTAGCTTAGGTCATCTGACTCCCTGTGCATATGTTCTTCTTAAGCTACACAAAATATGTCCTTTTTTAACAAAATTCTGAAAAATTGTTTTTCTTTGTATTTTTTAAAAATATTTTTAGTCATCAATAAACCTTTATTTAATTTATTAATTTATATGTGGTGCTGAGAATTGAACCCTTGCCAGGCAAGTGTTCTACCACTGAGCCACAACCCCAGTCTGAAAAATTGTTTTTTTAATTGTTTTTTTTTCTTCATAAGAATATTTTAGATAACCAAATGCATGTTCAGTTAAAGTTACCTGTGTGTTTAGAGAATTCTTCCTTTTAGCTAATAGTAATTATGCAACTTTTTGGCATTTATTTTTAAAATTAGCTTTAAAGTTTAGAGAATTTTGCTTAGCTATAACATGAAAAGGATATTTTACAAAACTTTTACATCAGAAAAACATCTTAAAAATTGACTTACCTGTAATTTACCATGCTAGAATAGGTGATAATGTAGAGAAATAATCTACTTCACATTAATAAAATATGAAATATTGGCCCCGATAACTAAAATTTATAACAGGGAATGAGAATCTGTTGTGAACAGATTATTTTAGGAGTTACATTTGGCATTACCAAAATCAAATGTAAAGGAAACAACTGCATAATGGGTACAAGGTATCTTTTGGGGATGATAGAAAAGTTTTAGAACTATATTGAGGTGATAGTTGCACATTATGAACATATTAATTGCTATTGAATTGTTCACTTAAAAGTGGTTAATTCTGTGTTTTGTGAGTTTCATCTTAATAAATGCAAATCATTTATTTCCCCCAAGAGAATAAAATGTAAATATTTTGATATATTATTCTTTTACATTTATTTGAAACTTTTTATTCTGCTAAAAAATATTACCCCTGTGCATAGATACAGAAAAATGCTATAGTATCTGTAGATAAATAATCCAGTATGTCTCTCTAAGGTTCCAAATGTACATACCTGTATCTTCCCGAGAATGAACCACAGGTTCTTCCCAAGTTTAAAAGATTAGAAGTGTTACTTTCTAGGAGAACTGCAAATGCAAATATTAAAGTCTGATTTGAAGTGAGCAAAACAAACATAAAGTCACTAGAAAGGATTTTTAAAACATTTATGAAATTTCATCATCAAAAGTAACAAAATGTGTAGAATTTTTCTCATAAAGGCTTTGTTTATTTTCCTTAGATTTAATGTAACCAATGGTTCTTTAAATAGGACTGTCTACCTTTGATCCAGTGCAGATTCCTACACAGAGGAATTTCTTTTTTAGAAAATAAATATAGAATGTTATTTGTTCTTCACTGAATTCAATATAATATATAAAGGCTGTTAAGCTGGTTCACATATACACAGAAACATGTAACTGATTTTGCAATAATCCCTTCAAGATTGCTTTTTCAGAGGGGTATTGTATTTATTATAAAGTTTATCTGTAAGTCAACTGTGTGCTTTTGGTACAGTTCCCTGGACGTCAAATACATTTTCCCCAAAAGGTTATTGTTCCACTGAGAAGTATAATGCTAGTAAAACAAGAAGAGAAGAACTTGATTATTATAGAGTTTTATTACTGTAAAGTTTTAAATATTATATATTCTCTTGAAAATTAAAAATAAATAGCATAAATTTTACCATTTACACACTTTATAAACATTTTCCAAATTTGATTCTGATTAAGGTCCTGTTAAGGCAGAAATATGTATTGATTTTATTATGCAGTTTAGGAAACTTTTGTGTCACACCACAAAGTAATTAATTAAGATAAGTTGAACTGTTTGAATACCTAAATTCTCTTGTCTTTTTACAACCACATTATTGTAGACATCGTGCAATTTTAATTTAAAAAGCAACAAATTATGAATATATACTATACTGTTGTTTTGTATGTTATGTGTATATTATACAAATAAATATGCAAGTATTTAATGGGCTTATATTATTACCCATCAATGGGAGAGAGAGAACAAGAAAGGGCATGAATAGCAAGGGAGATGATAGGAATATCATTCAGAGAAGCTGATATTCACTTGTATTTCAACAGTGATAGAGTGCCTCTTTACAAAAAGATTGAGACAGCTGTATAGAGAACAGCGTAGTCATTGCATAGCCTTTTAGATTATTGACCCTAGAGTTAAAGCTTCGTTCATTTTTTCCAAGACAAGTGCAAATGGAGTGTTGCTGCAGTCCGTTGCTCTTTGTCTCCTTCTGCTGATGACCACAATTGGTTTAGCTGATCTATCTGGTTCGGGCATGATTTCATTCAGCCTGACCACTTCTTGTATATCCCTCCTGAAGCTCTGTGCTCCATAGGGGAAGATGACCCTTTCAGGCAGAAAAATGTAGGGTGAATTTATTCTAATATCTTTGGCTGACATGCTGAAGTTTACCTGCTTACAGAATAGATACCCAGTATAGCAAAATAAGGTTTATTTCTTTAATATTATTCTTACTGTGAATTTACAATTCCATTCTTTGAATTCAAAACAGGATTTTAATTTAAAAAGTTAAAAAATCATTTTCTGTACTTTTGGTTTGCTTTATGACTTCATGAGCAATATTTTATCCTTTTACAGCCTTATCTGATGCCCAAGGGAATTTTCTTTTAAATGGAAATTTTGTTGTAAGTATGTCAAAAAAGGAAATAAACATACAAGGAGCTATTTTTGAATACAGTGGATCAAACAACTCAATTGAAAGAATTAACAGTACTGATAGACTGGAAGAAGAACTTGTTTTACAGGTAACTCTTCAGTGGTCAGTAAGACTTCACTTTAATCATGTTAGTGATCTATACTGGTTAAATGCTTAACATTTATTATTAAAGATAGACATTATGTCTGAAGAATGTATCTTTTATAAGTTGTATGTTCCTTTATATCTTTATTGAGGTGCTATGTGTGGGTAATTTATATAACCCTGATGTACGCTATTCCTTCAACATCCCTATGGAGGAGAGGAGTGACCTGTTCACATGGGATGCACATGGACCATGGCAAGACTGTACCAAAATGTGTCAAGGTATGTTAGTATTAAAGAGATGGGGGTTTAACTGTGCATGCTGTTATCATTTAATTCCTTCGAGTTGGGTTGCCTATAGAATCCTCCTCCTTTCCATAAACATAACACACAGGCATACAAAAGTGTACAGTTTTATTTTCTTCTTCTCACTTTTCCTCTCACTCTTTTTTTTCTCTTACTCAACAGACCCTGTTTTTAAAACTCCCCCTTTCTACTTACTGTTCCTGGTACATTTTCACATTCTCATTCATCCCCCCCCTCCTTTTTTATTTTTATATATTTTTTGCAGTTGCAGAAATTTTCTCTAACTTACTTACTTCCTAGTGAAATACCTGCCCTCTCATCTACTGTCCTCCACACACTCTTTCTTAGAAACCTGTCTCCCTCTTTTAGTGTTGAGATATCAACCATTCTTTCATTTCCCTTCCCAGGCTCTGGGAAAATATATTTGTACTAGTGGCATGATTAACTGAAAGGAGCAGAGAGGAAATGGCAGAGAAATTTATAGTAGCGACAGCAAATAGAAAGACTAGAGTCTTTGTGTAATGTTTAATTTTGGATGCTTAGTTGTGTAATACCGTGTTCAATGCAGGACAATTATCTAGGGACTGCTTTGTTTTAGATTATTAATGAGACTGCAGATCTGCATTCAGGTTTTAAAGTCTAGTGGTTGCAAAAGAAGTATGAGTAGATATCTTAATTTAAAATAGTAATATAATAGTAATAAAATGGTAAATGCAATACTATATCTCTGTATGTATCAGAGATGATCACAGAAAAAGGTTATGAGGAGATTGAAGTGAGGTATATATAGAGAAGTTTATATAGAATGGAGAAGTCATTTTCATGGAGAGTAGAGAATGTTTAAAAATACAGGAGAGCAGCGGTCAGATGAAAGGAAGCTTAGAACAGTATGGAGATGATCCTATAGGAGAAAGGAGGTGACCAGAGGCAGTGGCCCCAGATGATGAGAATGTGAGGAACAGTTTAGTTAACTGGTGTGACCAGATACCAAAGGAACTGTGCTGATTCATTGAGGAAGAGGCCCAACTGTGGTCCTGTTGCATTGGGACAGTGACCCACAGAGTGATTGTATGAGATCAGGCATTCCTGTGACTGCTTGGGCAGTAGTGTCTCAGAGAAGGGCTATGGTAGTAGATGACACCAGGTCAGCTGGGATAAATGCTAAAGTAGAAACCAGGGGCTTTGATAATGCAGAAGAAGGAAGGACTCACTTTCACAGGAAGGCCCTGGGTGTACTTTACAGGAGAGAATTGGAATTTGGGGAGCTGATATTCCAGTGCTGAGTGAATAAGCTGGTCTGTGGCCTTGGACATCGAGACCTAGGGGGACAAAGCCAAGCAACAGGTGAAAAAAGGCACATTCTTAAATGCAGTAGACACACCAAATAAAGAATAATACGATTCTGGGAGGTTGGGGAAAATTTGGTAAGAAGTGATGGGGGTGTCCAGACCAGGAGAACCACCTTAAAGAATCACGTGCATGAAAAAAAAGGAGCTATTAATTCTTTTACCACACAGAATGCTGTGAACATATTCCTTTTTTGTATAGGCTTTGGTTTCTCTCAAGATTCATTTCCTCAACTTTGTTTACTTATTGACTTATTTTTTAGTATGCTGAAAGTCATCAGTCCTCAAGATTTCTGTCAGTACTACACATTTTACTGGTATTAGAAGCATATTATCAGCTTTAATTTTCCTTCACATTTTTTATCTTTGTCTGTGACCCTCTTTTCTCTTGCACTAATTTGTTTGCATTGCTTTTTAGAGCTTTTATGTGACCATCACCTCAAGATGTCCCTCCTTTATTATCCTGGAAATTTCCTTCAACTTTCTCTTAGGCTGGATTCCTTGGTTTCTAAGTCTTACGAGTTCCTCTTTTTGATTTCCTTCCCTCATTAGGTGGACATGCTCCTCAGTACTTTGCTGAGAAAGAAAGGTAATGTTAGAGGCTTCCCATCTCTGAAAATTGCATTGTGTCATTCTCATTCTTGCTCAGTACTTTGGTACAAATTCTGAAACAGATGATTTCCCTTGAGAATATTGAAAGCCTTGTTTTATGACTGTTTCCTCAGCTTGCTTTTCAATTTCATGCCCTTGTATGGGGTATTTTCGGTTCTGGAAGTTTTGTGGATCCCCTCAATGCTAATACCTTGATGTTGGTGCTTCATTTGATTTTATTTATTCTGTATTTGCCTAGGTAATCAGGATGTCATTTCAATTTGGAAACACTGATTCTTTGTCTTGAAAAATTTAGTTCCATTCATTAATTTTTTTGATAATTTCCTCACACTCATTTTTCTCTTCTCTTTCTGAAAGTTTTATTATTTGAGTACTCAGCCTCTTAAACTGAGGATTTCTTTTCTAATTTCTTCTCTTCATTTCACTGTTTTGAGGTTTCTTCTCATAACTTTTATTTAATGGGTATAATATCTTCTATTAGGCCTCTGAGGGTATTAAGTGTAGTCTTTGAGTTTTCTTCTGCTCTGACATATTGGTTTTATTCTAGTTCTATTGTGTTTTTGTTTCTTTTGTTAGTGGATTTTTTAGAATTTCCAATGATTATTGGCTGTTTGTTCATATTTAGGAAGTACCAAGATGCTAATTGAAAGTTCTACATGTGTCAGATGCGTCAACCAGAGGCTTTGTTCTAGAATAACTGGATTGTTGAGAGGCTCTTTTGTTTGTCAGCAGGGTGAAGAACCAAATGTTGTTGTCAGTTGATCCTTTTTCTTGTTTAAACAGTTGCCCAAGAGAGGAATTCTCCCATCTCCTGACAGTCATGATGGGGTAGGGAATAATAGAAGACATTTTGGGGCCACAGTGGATGGAGATTTGGGGCTGGGATCTGTTCTTTCACTTTGGAGACTTACTTCATCACCCCATTTCAGTCTGCTGTGCTGTGGCTTCCCTGTATTGTGTCTTATTCCTTCAAGTTCTCCTTTCCTCGAGCTATGCTGTCTACCTGTGGCTAGTCCATGTGCTGTAAGTGTGAATTATTTACTGGATTTGGAAAAAATAATTTAAAATGTATTATTAATAATTTATAAATTGGTGCTATATTAAAATTCCAGATAATTGGATTAAATATAAATGCTATTAAAATTAATCTCAGCTGCCTCTCTTTACTTTTTAATGTGACTACTAGAAAATGCCAAGTGACACAGGTGGCTTCTGTTAGCCAGTGCCGCTCTTGGCTAGAAGGGTAGTCATCTAACTGTTCTTCATAAATACCTTTCAATCAATTATTAATTTTTCTGGCCTACACCTCACATCATTCACCTCTTCAGAGAAACCTGGTATCTTTGATTCCTGGACTTCTTTTGGATTTTGGATTTTGTGGCATGCACAGGCTTTTCCTTATTTACTCTCTACCTTCATAGGCTTAGGATTCTTATCCTTGACAGTCAAAAATCTATTCCCATCTGCTTTTCATATTTTAAAAAAAATCTTATCTTGCTTACTGTGTTTCCTTTTTTCCCTGTTCTTTTAGACATATGCCTTTTCAAAATTCTTTATTTTAAAGGGGGTTTGGGAAAGATTAGAGATAAACATATATGTTCATCTTCAGTCAACTGGCAGTACAAAGTGGAACTTTATAAACAGAAATTTGATCATGTCTCTGACCGCTTAAACTCTTTACTGTCTCTTCATTGCAGGAAATGTAAATTCAGACTATTCTGGCTGGTTATGACCATTTCTCTGAGTTTACTTTTGCTGTTATGCTGCATACAACCAACCACCAAACCTCAATGGATTAGAACGAAAGTTTATTTATTGCCCGTGTCATGTTTTGCTACTAATTGGTTATGGCTCTACTCCAACTTGTTACTGCAACCATTGTCATTTTTAAAAAACTTTTTAGGGACTTTACTTTGTAGAGCATCTTTAGGTTTACTGAAAAACACTGGATAGAAAGGCTGAATATTCTGCCTTGTCCCTTCCCTCTCTGTTCCCTCTGTGCATCCTTTACTCTCTCCCTCCATTATTAACATCTTATATTAGTTTGGCACGTGTGTATAATTGATGAGCCAATTTTTATGCATTATTGTCAACTAAAGCCTATAGTTTATATTAGGATTCATTTTTTGTGTTGTACATTCTATAGGTTTTGACAAATATATGGATGATGGTATCATCCAGTGAAGTTTTGCAGCCCTAAAAATCCCCTGTGCTCACCATTTCATCTTGCCTTCCTCCCCTACAACCTGTGACAACACTGATTTTTTTTATTGTTTTGTCAATGTCTTTTCATTCATGACTCCAGGCTGAAAGAGCAGCCCTTGCCTGAGAATCGCTGGAATAGGTCTCATCCACTTTAATTGGTCAGCATAAGGCTGATGCCAGTTGACAGACGGAAGTGATCTCCCACAGGAAGTTACTATGACATTGTAGCAACCAGAAATGGGCACTTCCCTTCATAAATAGGGAAAGCAAATACTGGGGAACAATAATATCATGTACCACATAGAATCAGCACTGTCCCTAGCCACTCAATTTCCCCCAATCTCTGTCTTGGCCCTGATGAATTTCTTTTTACTCTGTACTTGTCCCACCTTCCTTTTTCCTCTTCACTAAGCAAACTTCTCAATCATTTAGGATTCAGCTTACTTACTATAAAAAGTCATTCCTGACTAGATTAATATACTAGCATATCTTAGATGTGGTGTTGAAAATTTAGCTTTCTTACTTATATCCTTTAGGCTTTTAGTAGAATTAAATACTTAGGGAACTTCTACTTATGTAAATTCTCATTTCATTTTTAATTTTCATTTGATTTTGGTCAAGGTCTTCGTAGAAGAAAAATTATCTGCATACGTAAGAGTGATCATGTGATTGTGTCTGATCAAAATTGTGACCACTTGCCACACCCATTGTTTGTGACTGAAAAGTGCAATACAGACTGTGAACTAAGGTAAAAAGGAAATAATGTGTGATATAACTACTATATAAATGCAACGAAACTAATAAGTGAGATAAATATAAAACAGTGCCTAACACAAAGTGGACATATCACTAATACCCATCATCTGCCTCTATTATAAAATTTCAGATTCACTAATGTGTGGTGAAACTCAGAATTGTATCTGAATTTTTATTCATATTACTGGCTGAATACCAGTTACCCAGGTCCTACACTCTGTTAGAAAACAGAAGTCATTTTGCCTATAAAATAAATATAAGTAAACTCTTGTCTGAAAGCCGTGGTTTAAAGATCTAAAACAACATATCTGTAGCCTGATTCTGTAATTACCATTGAACTCATGAACCACTAAATTTATAAGTTTTATGGATTAGAGACTGTATCAATTTTCCTGGTATCTTAGTAATTAATCCATTGGGTACTAAGCAACATTATGGTAGATCATGGCAGGAAAGTTTGTACTTCTAATCTAAATTTCTTTTTTTTTTTTAGTGTATTTATATTTTTATTGGTTTTAGGCATATAATATATATGTATATACATGTGTTTTATATTTTGTAGTTAAATCCATCAATCTTTTGTTTTTATGTAACCTTTTTTGAGAGGGAATAGTGGGAATTAAACCCAAGGTGCTTTACCATTGAGTTCCACCCCCAGCCCTTTTTATTTTTTTTAATTTTTTTTTTTTACTTTCATCTCTTACTGTTTTTTTATTTTTTTTAATTTTTTATTGTTGGTTGTTCAAAACATTACAAATTTCTTGATATACCATATTTCACACTTTGATTCAAGTGGGTTATGAACTCCCATTTTTACCCCATATACAGATTGCAGAATCACATCAGTTACACATCCATTGATTTACATATTGCCATACTAGTGTCTGTTGTGTTCTGCTGCCTTTCCTATCCTCTACTATCCCCCCTCCCCTCCCCTCCCCTCCCCTCCCCTCCGCTCTTCTCTCTCTGCTCCCTCTACTGACATTCGTTTGTCCCCCTTATATTATTTTTCCCCTTCCCCTCACTTCCTCTTGTATGTACTTTTGTATAACTCTGAGGGTCTCCTTCCATTTCCATGCATTTTCCCTTCTCTCTCCCTTTCCCTCCCACCTCTCATCCCTGTTTAATGTTAATCTTCTTCTCATGCTCTTCGTCCCTACTCTGTTCTTAGTTACTCTCCTTATATCAAAGAAGACATTTGGCATTTGTTTTTTAGGGATTGGCTAGCTTCACTTAGCATAATCTGCTCTAATGCCATCCATTTCCCTGCAAATTCTATGATTTTGTCATTTTTTAATGCAGAGTAATACTCCATTGTGTATAAATGCCACATTTTTTTAATCCATTCGTCTATTGAAGGGCATCTAGGTTGGTTCCACAGTCTTGCTATTGTGAATTGTGCTGCTATAAACATCGATGTAGCAGTGTCCCTGTAGCATGCTCTTTTTAGGTCTTTAGGGAATAGACCGAGAAGGGGAATAGCTGGGTCAAATGGTGGTTCCATTCCCAGCTTTCCAAGAAATCTCCATACTGCTTTCCAAATTGGCTGCACCAATTTGCAGTCCCACCAGCAATGTACAAGTGTACCCTTTTCCCCACATCCTCGCCAGCACTTGTTGTTTGACTTCATAATGGCTGCCAATCTTACTGGAGTGAGATGGTATCTTAGGGTGGTTTTGATTTGCATTTCTCTGACAGCTAGAGATGGTGAGCATTTTTTCATGTACTTGTTGATTGACTGTATGTCCTCCTCTGAGAAGTGTCTGTTCAGGTCCTTGGCCCATTTGTTGATTGGGTTGTTTGTTTTCTTATTGTCTAATTTTTTCCTCCTCCTTTGATGATTGGTAACAGACCAATACTAAGAATGGTAACGATAAAAATCTTCCAGTTTTTCATTTTTTAATTTTTGCATTGTAGCAGGTTATATTCAGTATTGAAAGATAAGAATTTATATGTATATATATATTTTTATATACCTAGCCCAGTGGTAGAATTGCTTGTTTTAAGTCGCATAAAACACAATGAAATTCTTGAGAAGCTATCAGAAATGAACTCTGTGAATTCTGTGCTTCTTTATACTGGGATACTCATAATTTGGTTGCTTACTAGACTGTAATTGAGATAACTTGGCTATAACTAGCATTTTTGCTTATAATAAATATTTTCCCTGCAAACATGTCTAAATAGAGATTGGAATGAATTAATGAGGGAGTGTGATATTCTTTACAAAAACTGTTTTGCCAATTTTTAAGGACTATATCTTTATTGATGTATTCAGATTTCCAGATATTCTCTGTTCACGTATCAAAGTACTGTCAGAGGTTTTCAAACGGAGAGACTATTTGATTGACTAACATCAGACTAACTGATGTCTTCAGTTATAGTCTTAAATCTGCCACTAACTACTTGATTCATCTTGATCTAAACCCAATGTTTTCAAATGCTTTTGAAACTTGTACTTCCTTGGACATACCTCCAAAGTTACTATCAAGTGTCAGGATAATATCAGTAGATGTAGTGTTGATGCCCTGTCTCTAGCTTTAACTAGATATTTCATTTATATATATTTTGGAAGCAATTTAAGATTTAATGTGGAAAAAAGTACAATTTCTGATCAAAAGAGAAAAATTTTCAAGCATTGTACCATTGGAATAGATAATCTCTTTGAAGCTTCTTTTTTTTAAATCTGTAATCTGAAAGTTTGAGCTATATAATCTCTTGAAACTACATCTTTACGTCTTTTCAGGTTGCATTTCTGTTAGCTCTTAGAATTCTTAAAATTGAATTTCATGCATGAGTTTCTCTAAATTCACTTTTAAATTTGTGTTAATAGCACATTATCCTTTCTTTCTAGGTGGCACATCATTGGCAAAAGTGAATGTTCATCCCACTGTGGTTCAGGATACAGATCCTTGGATGTCCACTGCATGAAGTACTCCATCCATAAAGGACAGACTGTTCCAGTAAATGACCATGACTGCAGTGACCAAATTAAACCTCCTACCCGAGAGCCATGCCATGGTGACTGTGTCTTAACAAGATGGCATTATTTAGAATGGTCCCAGGTACAATAATTATTGGTTAAAGAAGGTTGTCTCCTTTTTCTTAACTGAATATTTAATTTCTCTGAAATACATATTTATAAACAATTTAATTTTTTTATCTCCAAAAGTCATCTTTTTTTAATTTCTTTTCTGTTTTTCTTTTTCTTTTCTTTTCTTTTTTTTTTTTAATCAGTGTTCTAGGAGTTGTGGAGGAGGAGAACGGTCTCGAGAATCTTATTGCGTAAACAACTTTGGCCATCGTCTTGCTGACAGAGAATGTCAAGAGCTGCCTCGAATGATTGTAGAGAATTGCAATGAATTTTCCTGTCCCATTTGGGTTGCTAGTGAGTGGAGTGAGGTAACATTAAAAACATGAGGCTTAGAACTATTATAAATTGTGTTAGGAAACTTTGCATCAAAGACTTTATAAAATTCACACATATTTAACTTTATCATTTAAAATATTTTTTGTTAAAGGCAGTAAAATTTTTAAAATGGCTATCCTTAAACTATTTACAGTTATTAAGTTATCAATAACATTTGCTGATGCCTAATCTACAACTATAACTATTTTTATAAGAAAGTGCAGTGGCCTGGGATATATACTTATTCTAAGGTTAATTTTGTATCTTTGTTTCTAGGACTAGTGGACATTTCAGTGATACTTGGGGAGCAGAAGTTAGGGGTGGTGGTTTTGCCCAGTGGATGTATGTAGAGGATTTGGGTTATACTGAACTTAGAAATGGTCTTACAACTGTATTTTAGTATGTAAATTGATCCTTGCATCATTTTGTAATGTATCGTGTTGACTTCTTACAGTGTCTTGTTACATGTGGAAAAGGATCAAAGCAGCGGCAGGTTTGGTGTCAACTGAATGAAGATCACTTGAGTGACGGCTTCTGTAATCCAAGTACCAAACCTGAATCTCTAAGACCATGTGAGCTTCACGCATGTGCTTCTTGGCAAGTAGGACCATGGAGTTCTGTGAGTATATGCAAAATTTTGACATTACTGTTAATTTTGCTGTGGTAAATATTTCAGCTTTGCTTTTGGATTCACTTTAGTTAAATGAGAGTCTTCAAATCTCATGTTTTTATTAGCTTTGATTAAACTATAAATATTTTCACATTCTGTGCTTACGTTGGCATCTTTACCATATTTAGAACAGGCATTGTTAGAATAGCCAACCAGGAAGCTAGAAATCTGCAAAGTGAGCAATGATCAGACTGGATGAGTGTGGATAGTGTATTATCCTGTGAAGATTACCAAAGTTGATGGAACCTTCTTACCTCTTTCTTCTTTATCTCTTTGAAATTTCTTCAGTGTATTAAGTGACATACATACACCAGATAGAGTTTGAAAGTATTTTGTTCCTATAATTATATTGAGTCTGCCTCCAAAATATCAGGCCTTTACTGATATTTTTTACATGATAACTTTTAAAACTATATTAACAATATACATTTTGTGAACTTCAGTATTTTAGTAATGTCTACATAAAGTATTTAAATAAGTAGGCATGATGATTGAATTTATTAATTTTAGGTCTTTTGAATCTGGTATAAAGTGCTTGTATAAGAAGATCTACTGAAAGTATATTATTAACTATATATTTATTAAGAAAATGGAAGTCTATGTAATTTTTGAAAAACAATGTTTTTTGATATCTATTTATCTTTATCTTTCAGTGCACAGCTACCTGCGGACTTGGGTATCAGATACGTGCTGTTAAATGTGTCAGCGAGCTCTTTAGTGCAGTATTAGATGACAGAGAATGTCAAGGGGCTAGTCGCCCAGGTGATAGGCAGGTAAAGGAAGCCTTTTTGTGGATTATAAATAAAAATATTTATTATTTATCAGGAGGATTGCTAACATGTTCAAATTATTTTTATATGTACTTTTTCCACTTAAACTTCTATGCCTTAAAAATGTGTGCATGAAATAGAATTTGTTATTCTTGGTTTTGAAATTCTTATAGCTTTCTTATGACATAGCTTACCCTTTATCTGCCATTGGATCATTCATTTAACTTGTGTCTTCCCATTTTTTGAACTGTGCTTGTATAACAAGATCTATTATTATGAATATTATGGACTTTTGAAGTGTGTTTTGCCTTTTTAAAGTGAAGCTCTGTACTTTCAGAATGTTTCAGCCTAGTGGTATTTTTGAAGGACTTTGCTCTTTCACTTTTCAACTATCAGATAGAATGATCCAAATATTGATATTCAGTCTTACTGTCCACTGCTAGCACTTGACAGTACTTTGAATTTTTCAAAATAAAATTCTTTACATCATTTATTTGTGACTTGGTATGCAACTATTGTTGAATTAGATATTTAATAGAGACAATGAAATGCCAGAATGAATTTAAATGTGGTTGATTAATTAAATGATATTCTTTGAGATCTGTTTTTCTTTTAAATAGGACTGTATAGTTACTCCCTGCCCAGTTGTCCCCAATGTTGGGGCTACTTCGTTACCAGCTGTTCCTATGGGAAAGGTAGCACAGTGGAGACATGGTTCTTGGACCCCAGTAAGTGAATTTATTGAAGTGATATAGTATTTCTTATGGAGGTCTTTAGACACCAGCAAAATGTTTGGGGCAGATTTTCTTAAGTTAATGTATGTATTCATTCTCAAGTATATTGATGGTATGGACCAAGTATAGGGTTTAGAAATAGGTCATTTAATAGCTAACTCATGCTCTGACTTTCAAGAGCCTGTGTTTATGTGCAGGAAATTTGAGCCTTTTATAGATTTTCTAATCTATAAAATGAGGATAATGATACTTATGTCACAGGTTGTTATAAGAAACATATGTGATATTAGGCATTTATCAACTTTTAGTTAAACTACGGACATTTTCATGTTAGTTTTCTGAACTGAAAGTTTTAATGTATTTTGAATTATCATTTGCTTTCATCTTAAATTTTAATTGTCTTTTAAATTATTTTAATGATATATTAAGATTCCCTTACATAGCATTTTTAATTTTGAAATATAACTAAGCATTTCAAAACATTATATTCATTCAAACTTTATATCTGTGAAATTTATGATCTAAACTGGAATATTTATTGCCCCATCTGTATTTGATTGAGAAATTATGCCAGGTAATGTTATTTCTAATTTATGTTTTCTCAAGAAACTTGATGTTTTAGAAATGTGAGTAACAGTTATGGTTAAGGAAAGTGGGAGAGGTACTATCTAACATTTCAATATTATTTGATTTCTTAAGTGCTCTGTGTCTTGTGGAAGAGGTAATCAAGCCCGCTATGTAAGCTGTCGTGACGCTCATGATGGAATAGCAGATGAATCATACTGTGCACACTTACCTAGACCTGCTGAAATATCTGTCTGCTTTAGCCCTTGTGGAGAATGGCAAGCAGGAAATTGGTCACCTGTAAGTATCCTCATGAAAAAATAGGAAGTGAAGTGTTTAAATATAATATATGATATTTTATATAATATCAATGAAGTATATTACATAGTAAATGTTGACTAAATTTCTGGTCAGTGTTCAGCATCCTGTGGCCATGGAAAAACAACTCGACAAGTTTTATGCATCAACCACCAGCAGCCAATTGATGAGAATTACTGTGACCCTGAAGTTCGCCCCTTGATAGAACAAGATTGTAACCTGTCCGCCTGCCCACCCATGTACAGCCACTTTCCTAGTTCTTCTGAGCAGCCAAGCCATTTCCCAGGCAGGCATTTTCCATTAACTCACAAACCCGAAGATAATCAAAATCAGGGGGTCCATCTGTCAATCAGAGGAAACCAATGGAGAACAGGACCATGGGGATCAGTAAGCTGTTCTTTATTGAGTTATATTATTTCTGTAATTTTGTTATATTTCAGCCCTTTAACAGATCTGTATATAATGACATCAAATGCTTTTAATGCTAAATTTATCTGAAGATCAATAGTTTAAATCTTAAATGGATTAAGCATTTTTGATGCAGACTACAACTCCCCAGAGTTCTTATTGAATTATAGACTAATGTGATATTATGATTACAAAGGAATGCACTTAAAAATAATCTGATTAGGGTCCATTATAATAAAAATAAGAGAAAACCCTTTAAGAAGTAAGACTACAAATGTTTATGAAAAAAATAAAACAAAAACTTACTGTGATAGACATGGAATAAACTAGGGTAAAATCATGGTAAACTACCAAAGATATGATTGTAGTTCATATTTTACATGATATTAATGATACAAATTAAAGAAAAATACCAAGGTAAAAATCAAGTGACTTAACACTGTTTTGTTTTTGTTTTTTAATTTCTTCCCAGTTAATCTTAAAACTTTAATTCCTTTTTACTTAACATTCAGGATGAAGGTGGAAGATTATTTCCTAATGCATAATTGAAAGTCCTACCTTTCATTGACAAATTTTAATGAAGCCCTCAGTAAAATTTAAGTGTTTTTGTCAGATTTTCATGATTCAAAGTTTGCTTTGGGTTGAGTCAAGGCATGATTTTTTTTTTCCCACCATGCAAATTCACATTGTGGAATCTGCAGTTCATGTGTGTTTCTATTTTCTTTTGGCCAGTGTTCTAGCAGCTGTGCTGGAGGTCTCCAGCGTAGGGTTGTGGTCTGCCAGGATGAGAATGGACAAAGTGCAAGTTACTGTGATGCAGCCTCAAAACCCCCAGAGTCAAAGCACTGTGATTCGGGACCTTGTCCACACTGGAACTATGGAAGCTGGGGAGAAGTAAGTCATAAGATTCCCCAAATTTGTGGAGAATTTTACATATCTGAAGACCTAAAGTAAAGTGCTTTTTGACATTACCTCATTATCCCATACTGCTGGATAATTTTACTTCACTATATATGGAAAGAAATATTTTTCTTAATTGAAAGATCAAAACCCTGTTCTTTTAATAGGTGTTCTCTCATTGTGTAAGTCACTCACTCATGAAGGAAAGCGTGTATTCCAGATTTGTAAATAGAACCTGCTATGCTACTCAGTATGTCTGTGAATTACTAATATCTTTCTAACTTTTGTACATTATTATTCAAATATCTTAGAAAATTGGATTGATGTAAACACAGAAAACAAGGTGGATATGCAGACTATATTTTACTCCTATTGTTTAGTCATTCATTTGATGATTTTTCTCCTTTAAGCTAGATAGTTGTCAATTATTAAGCACTTTCATCATGCCCTGGCGCTCTTTGGCACTGTAAATGTAAAGATAATTTCTAAAATGGTCACTTTGAATATTAATCCCACCCATATTTTGAATGGGAAAGAGTAAGAAGCAATGATGTATGTTAGTTTGGGATGAATAATATAAATCAGCTAATTTAATTAGTCAAATGTTTTTGCTTAATTGTTTTTATTACGTAATTTTCTTCATAGGGAATTTATTGGAAATCATTGCTTAAAGGCATACTTTTGGCTAGGTGCTAATAAACATCAAGTACATTTTTCATATATACTTTAATATTTTCCAAAATTAAGTAACTTTAGTATTACAGTATTAGTAGGTATATTCATTTTAAAAGTTTAAATCATAGGAAAACTATAAACAAATACAAACTTTTATCATTTTGGTATATTTACTGCTAGATTTTTGTTCTGCATAGGTTACAAAAACAGATTTATATTATACATGCTGTTTGCTGTCTGATTTTTATATAAAATGTATTAAACATCTATCCATGTTTATAAAATTTGACCTATCTCATTAGCTCTCATGGCTACATAATAATTCATTGATTATAATCCATACATTTTATAATTGATACTCTTTATTTAGGTAAATCAGTTTTGTTTCTGTCATAACCTGCAATTAGTATCTTATAGACTTCATACCTTATTGAAATATCTTCCTAATAAGTCTCAGAAACTGTCAGTTTTTATAATCATGGGATTAAAACTCTTAAATTCAGGGAGAAATGTTGACAATTAGAAATAATAAATGTTTAAGCTCTAGCATTACTAATTATATTTCAAGAATGAATAACAGTCTCTGTAAAGTTACATAGGCTTGATATTTCCTCTTCTTATTTTTAGTGTACACAAACATGTGGAGGAGGAATAAAATCAAGATTTGTAATATGCCAGTTTCCCAATGGCCAACTGTCAGAAGAGCACAACTGTGAAATCTTAAACAAGCCGCCTAGTGTGATACAATGTCATGTTCATGCCTGCCCTGATGATGTATCATGGCATCGGGGACCATGGAAATCGGTACGATAGTATTCTCAATCTTAATTTTGTTTTATTTTACTAGGTTTCTTTTACTTTAATTTCTTTTTTTTATAAATCATGAAATCTACACACTATGATTTCTGATTGTTTTTTAAAGCAGACCGTTTGCCTTCTTGGCTTATATTATTAAAATTGATAGTTGGAAGAAGGATTGATTCAATTTCAAGTACTGTAATATTTAATAGTTCTATAAGTATTTATTTTTATATGTGAAGTTTGAACCATAGCACTATTCCCATGGAAATATTTTTCTTCATTACATCTTTTGTTTGCCTTCACTATTTACATTTGTATGTAATGTTAACACTTTGCTTGTAACAATGGCAAATCAAGGCTATGTCTTGTTTGAGCATATAACTGTATGTGGCTTTTGTCTGTCAATGTCCAATAACTGATCCAAAACCAAATAACAATCTTTTAAAACTTGTTTTTATCATTGTTAAAACTCATTATTTTGTTTGGAAATGTGAAAATTTATATTAAAGAAAAGATAGAGAAATTTACTTACATAAAATAAATTAATTGTTTACAGTTTGTTACATCACAGAAAAGTATGATTTATATAATAATTTATATGAATATTCATTTTTCTCCACTGTGTGGAGTTACTGTGGTTTAGGAATATTTTAATTTTCTGTTTTGTTATTTTTTGGAGCCATAGACCAAACTCATAAATATTGCTCATGAATGGTTTATTTTCTCTAGTTGTTTTCAGATATCTAAACTCTGAAGAATATTTAATACATAAGTATATTGAATTAGTTTTTTGGTCACTTCTGATTTTTTAAATCGTGGACAGCTAAGTTCATTTCTTTCAGATGAAAAATTGATTTGAGTCTATAATATATTTATAATTGTATTTATGAAGTTAAATCATATTTTATTTAGAAAATAATCATAACTGCAGTTTTACAACTAACCCTTTTTTATAATTTTTTATTGGTTCTTTTTAGTTATATATAACATTAGGATTCATTTTGACATAATTGTAAAAGCACAGAATACAATTTTCTCTAAATCAGTCTCTAATACTTCCCCTTTCCCTCCTCCCTCCCTCCTACTGTTCTCCTCCCTCTAGTAACCTTTCTGCTATTTACTTAGAACATTTTTTTTAAAATTAGTGCCTTGTGGATATACATAATGGTGAGATTCACTGTGGTTTATTCTTATATGTACTTAGGAACTTTAGGTCAGATTCATTCCTCAATTCTTCCCTTATCCAGTCTCTCCTCCTTCCCCCTCATTCTCCTTTCTTTACTTCACTGATTTTGCTTCTAGTTTGATGGAATACCCCTTCCCTGCCTTCCCCACCACCACCCCTTATTTTGTATTAGCTTCTGCATATCAGAGAAAACTTATTCAACCTTTGACTTTCTGGGTCTGCCTTATTTTACTTAGCACGATAGTCTCCAGTTTCATCCATTTACCAGCAAAGGCTGCAATTCATTCTTCTTTATGGTTTAGTAATATTCTGTTGTGTATATATACCACATTTTCTTTATCCATTCATCTCTTGAAGGACACCTAGGTTAGTTCCATTGTCTGGCTAGTGGGTGTGTTGCAATGCTGATTTTATATCTTTGATATCAAGCAGTGGGATAGCTGAATTATATGGTGGTTCCATTCCTAGTTTTTTAAGGAATCTCCATACTGATTTCTAGAGTGGTTGCACTAATTTTCAGTCACACAAGCAGTGTATGCAAGTATCTTTTTCTCCACATTCTCACCAACACTTGTTATTGTTTGTATTCTTGATAATTGTGATTCTGACTGGTAGAAGATGAAATCTCAATGTGATTTTGATTTGCATTTCCCTAATTGCTAGAGATGTTGAACATTTTTTCACATATTTGTTATATTCGTCTTTTGAGAAGTGTTTTTTTCAGTTCTTTTGTCCACTTAGTTGGATTATTTAGGTTTTTTTGTTGTTAAGTTTGTTGAGTTCTTTTTATTTAAAAAATTTTATTTTTAGTTGTAGATGGACACAATAACTTTCTTTTATTTATTTATTTTATGTGGTGCTGAGGATCAAACCCAGTGCCTCACATGTGCTAGGCTTATGCTCTACTAGTGAGCTATAACCCCAGCCCTGTTGAGGTTTTTTTTATGTTTTTTATTATTTTTTTTAATTCTGAATATTAATCCCCTGTCTGGTGAGGAAGTGGCAAAAATCTTCTCCCATTCTGGAGGCTCTCACTTCATTGATTAATTTTTTTCCTTTGCTGTGAAGAAGCTTTTTAATTTGATGGCATCTCATTTATTGATTTTGGTTTTATTTCTTGTGCTTTAGGAATTTGTTAGGGAAGTAAATGTTTGAGTGTTGGATCTACATTTTCTTCTCTCAGTTGCAGAGTTTCTGGTCCAATTACTAGGTCTTGATCCACTTTGAGTTGAGGTATAGGGATCTAGTTTCATTCTTTTACATATCGATGTCCAATTTTCCCAGCACTATTTGTTAAAAAGACTATATTTTCTCCAACATATATTTATGGCATCTTTGTCTAGTAACAGATAACTATATCTATGTGTTTGTCTTCTATTCTATTCCATTGATCTTCCTGTTTGCTTTGGTGCCTGTATGATGCTATTTTAGTTATTATAGCTTTGTATTATAATTTGAAGTCTGGAATCATGATGCCTCCAACATTTATTCTTCTTCTTCAGGATTCCATTGGCTACTCTGGGCCTCCTACTTTTCCAAATGAATTTTAGAACTGCTTTTTTTCTAGTTCTGTGAAGAATGTCATTGGTTTCTCGGTGGGGATTGCATTGAATCTGTACAATGGTTTTACAGTATGACCATTCTGACAATATCAATTCTGCCGATGATTCAAGAACATGGGAGGTCTTTCCATCTTCTAAGGTCTTTAATTTTTTTTTCTTCAGTATTCTATGCTTTTCACTGTAGAGGTTCTTCCCTTTCTTGGTTAGATTAATTTCAAGTATTTTTAAGGTTATTGTGAATGTGATAGTTTTCCTAATTTATGTTTCATCAGATTCATTATTGGAGTATAGGAAAGTGTTGATTTATGTATGTTGATCTTGTGTTCTGCTACATTACTAAATGTGTTTATCAGCTCTAAAAGTCTTCAGGTGCACTTTTTGGGGTCTTCTAATTATCAACCAACAGAGATTATTTGACCCCTTCTTTGCCTATTTGTATCCCATTAATTTTCTTGAATTTGCCTGATTGTTCTGGCTAGAGTTTCAAGGACTATGTTGAATAAGAGTGGGGAGAGTGTACATCCTTGTCTTGTTCTTGTTTTTAAAGGAAATGCTTTCAGTTTTTCTCCATTTAGTATAATGTTGGCCTTGGATTTGTCATATATAACCTTTACAAAGTTGAGGTAAATTCTTTCTATCCTGGTTTCTCTAGTGTTTTAAACATGAATGAGTGATGTACTTTGTCAAATGCTTTTTCTGTATCGAGGTAATCATGTGCTTCTTGTCCTTGATTTTATTTTTGTATTGAATCACATTTATTCATTTGTGTATGTTAACTCAATCTTGTATCCCTGGGATAAAGCCCACTTGATCATGGTGTACTATCTGCTTAATGTGTTTTTGTAATGTGGTTTGTCAGTTGGACATTATTGCACTAAGTACATGTATGATTATACAACTGGTGTGATTCTACAACATGTACATCCAGAAAAAATGAGAAGTTATACTCCATTTATGTATGATATGTCAAAATGCATTCTACTGTCTTATATAACTAATTAAAACAAATTGAAAAAAGAATTTTTGCATCTTTGTTCTTGAAAAATATTGGCCTGAAGTTTTCTTGATGTGTTTGTCTGATTTAGGATCAGGGTGATACCTGCTTCATAAAATGAATTTAACAGTGTTTCCTCCTTTTCTACTTCATGAAATAATTTGAGGAGAATTGGTGTTAGTTCTTCTTTGAAGGTCTGATAGCTGCTTCAGTGTATTACTTGATATTAATCTGTTTAAGTTTCCTATATTCTCCTCATTCAGTTTGGGTACATCATGTGCCTCTAGGAATTTGTCAATATCTTCAAGATTTTCTAGTTTATTGGAGTATGAATTTTCAAAATAACAATTATTACTAATTATTTTCTGGATTTCAGTAGTATCTGTGGTGATATTTTCTTTTCCACTTTAATTTTATTAATTTGTGTATTCTCTCTCTTTTGGTTAGTTTGGCTAAAGGTTAAACAATCTTATTTATCCTTTCAAAAAACTAACTCTTCATTTTATTTATTTAGAGAACATTACATGAGCTATTGAGAAGAAAGTTAATTCATGGATAGATGGAATATCCCATAGATGTCTGTTAGGTCCATTTGATTAATGGTATTTTTTAGTTCTGAAGAATCTTTAGTTTGTGTCTGGATAATCTATCTAGTGATGAAAGAGGTGTGTTGAAATCACTTAGTGTTGTTCTATAACAGTCTATTTGATTTTTAATATTGAGGAGGGTCTATTTTATATATGTAGATCCACCATTGTTTGTGAGATAAATATTTACCATCATTATATCTTATTGGATGATTCTTATAACCAGTGTGCAGTAACCTTCTTTGTCTCTTCTGGTTAATTTTGACTTGAAGTCCACTTTGTCTAATATGAGAGTAGCTACCCTTCTTTGTTTTTCCAGTACCATTTGTATAGTATATCTTTTCACCTCCTTTCACCTTTAGTCTGTGGATGTCTGTCTGTAAGGTGAGTCTCTTGCAAACAACATATTGTTTGGTCTTGTTTTTCATCCAAACAGCCCCTGTGTTTTAAGATTGAAGAGTTTAGAACTTTTACATTTAATGTTATTGTAGAGAGATGGTTTTTATTTCTTACTTTTTTAACTTATCTCTAATGCTTCATTCAGATCTGACTTTTTAAATTTACTATTCTTCTAGTGTGATTCATCCTATGCTGGTTTTCTTTCTTTTTTTTTTCATTTCTTCTTCATGAAATATTTTATTGAGTATGTTTTGTAGTGCAGGCCTTATGATTAT